TGTAAGAGCACCACTGGAATACTAACTGCCTGCTCCTTTGCAATAGTAATGATTAGAGAACCAGAACAGCCTCCATCCTACAATCACAGACTTATCAACCRGAGAAACAGGCAGTTTCTTAAAACTTAAACAGGCAGTTACTTAAAGCAGCTCACCTGAAGGCCAGGGAGAATGAGGGGAGATTTTGTGGAAAAAATACCCCGTAAGTGCTGAAAGAGACAGCCAGCTCTGTCACCAGTATCTTCACCACTTGCATTTCCTAAGAACTAGCTGACCCTCATGCTATGTTTAATTCACAATCACTTACAGCTCTGTACAAGGAACCAGTCATTTGCTACCACAAATGAGACATCTCAAAAAGGGTACTTTAAATGCCAGCCTCCACCTGTGCACAGGAAAGCTGAGAGAGATAGAACAGGAAAACGTGCTCAAATATGATGTAATGTCACACGCTGAATCAAAACAAAACCTTTGACCTTTAACWCTATAAATTAGGGAGATWWAAAGAGGAAAARTAAAATAAAATAAAATGAGCTACTGTAACAGATCATACTCATAAACCTCAGTGCAAGGAAAAAGCTTCAGGGAAGCCTTCATATTTCTAATCCATTTACCAAAAAGGTAGAAACACTAGATAACCAGGCACTGAGCACACACAACTTTTTCTATAATTACAGTATTACCAAAAGAGGTGAAGACCTCCAAGCATGCATTACTGTCTGGTTTCTATTCTCTWTCTAGAATTTTAAAACAAGTAATTTCACTGACACTATTTTATCAGATCACTTRAGGAGCTCAGGTACATGGAGAGGGAGGAATAAAACATTTAAATGGAAGAAATATGACAGTTCCCAGCCTGTCAAATAGCACACRCTCCCTAGTCCATTAAATCACATCAAATGAATTTGCTGGCCTTTTACACCAACTGCAATTCAGAAATAACAGGAAAACACTATTCTTGAAATACAAAGCTTTCAGGATGACTTGTTTTGTTCTTAACCCAACCCTCAACACTTAGAGAGCCCTATTCTTTCCAGAAGGCAGCAYATTCAGGCTCAATCACACCATCTTTGCCATAAAGGTGCTCCAAAGAAACTGAACCATTCAGGAAGAAAGTAGCAGGAGGCCGAAACTTTGATCTCTAATCCCAGCTTAACCACAACTGTTTGATCTTAGAAAAAATACCTAGCCTATAATGCATTAGCATTACACAGAATGATAYAATACTTTAAATATTGCACAATCTTTACAAGGGCAATGCAAGCAAAGCTKAACAATTATGGTATCAAATTCACTCACCAATTAACCAGATGTAATGCAGGTTTTAAAGTAAAATTATGCTCCACTAGTAAATCAGATAAGAGAACCACACTGGTTAAGATTATTTTCATCCCTTTTAAGGTTTCCCACCTCAAATTCAACAACTCAGGCATGCTTCAAATGCGAATCATAATTAATCAAGCAAAAATAATTACCTAGCAAATATATTAATATTTCATGAGTTTATTTAACTTTAACCACCTGCAAACCAGTTTAACAGGCAGCCCACCAAAAAAAAGGGCTTAAAAACTACAGCCTATGTTCAGTGAAATGCAAGCTCTGAAGTCTTCCCAGAAAYAGACTCGCACTCTGAATCCTTTCAGAAAAAAAGCACTTTGGAACAGWTTTTAGAAATAGACATATACACTAWCCCATTCTACTCTTTTTATATSGTGAMATATAATTAYGTGAATAATAATTAAAACCTTGATGACATAATTTAAGTCACTCAAAATTCTAATATATCCAGTGTATAAATACTTTTAACTAGAAGGAAATTAATTTATCGGCAAAATGCACCAAAACATGTTTTATCCTATTTTCTGATTATGGTCAAAAATGTTTAAGCTGAGTAGCACTGATCTYGATCATTTCCTTCTCCAATCAAGGAGCATTCTTCCCAACCTTCTACTACAAAAGGAAAGAGGACTCTGCACTAAATTAATTAAACATTTCTTTGACTCAGTGGAAAAATCAGTGGTAGAAAGTATTTGATATCAGTCTGGGGATCTAACTATTTTTTTCAAGAATTCTAAAAATACACAGCGTTTAAATAACTCTTTTGACAATACTTTAAATTGACTGTCTACACATAACCTCTCAAAATCAAAACTTTACTATTTGGGGGCTTGGTTTGGGTGGGTTTTTTTAATTTATGTTGGGGTTTGGGTGTGGAGTTTGTTTTATTTTTTACTATTTTCTTTGTACAGTACACTGTTCCGTATATTTGTGTTAAACAGCTTCTTTCAACATTTGCCATAAAAGTTGGGCTCCTGTACCAGTCAACCAGAGACTCAACACTCCTGTTCTTTAGATTCAGAACTATGCAATGAAAGCAAGGGAGGATATACCTTAAAGACATYCACACCTAGAAATCAGCACATACTGAAACCATGAGATTGCATTCACACTGACTAACAAAACAAGCAAACGTTCTCTTATGTCTGTATTTTATGGACTCAAAAGGAACATTTCAAGTAGTTGTTTCTCCTGGTTATTCATATTAAGAAGTGTCCTAGCTTACCTGTATCACACTAAGAAAAATCAATGGATAAMCCTAATAGTAACACTTCCAATTTCAAACTGAAATGTTTCTCTAAAGTGGAGAACATTTCTTAAAGGAAAAGTACAATTACCTTAAACACCTATATTAAAAAGGCTGCTTCTGAAGCCCAAGTGCATCTGGAAATTTTACCTGCTACTTSTAACAGCGTCCACACACTGTCCTCAGTGACAGTATCACACAGAAAAGAACTCCCCCAAATCWCCATTTACTATAGCCTGACTGATTTTAAGTGGGCTGTATGACTCAGACTAGATCCTCACCCATTTTAAAATGTAGTTGTCACTTTTCTGGCATCGTCCAAACAAGTGGTCAAATGCTCTAGAGTCAAAAGTAAAARCTGTATCAACAACAGCCATACATCACTTATTTCCTCTGCTGTCACCTCCAATGCAAAGGAAATGTCTGAGACAACATTTGACCCCACTCCCTACCAGCTGAAATGCTACCCAATGTTTACAACTCATGACTTTTATTCACATGCTGAATATCAAGTGTTAAACAGCAGTGACACACAGAAGTCGGTTGCTTTAATTAATTTCTCAGAGCAGMATTCTGTGAAGTCATTTTTACGTCACGACACAGCCCATCACATCGGTGTCAGTGTGGGCAAACCACTGAGGGTTAAGACCTGAACAGTGCTCTTTGCAGGCTGACAGACAAGTAAGGACAAGGCTGCAGAGTGGCACCTTCAGAGAGAAAACTCTATCCAGAAGAAGCCCAAGGTGTCCTGATGATGCCTGCGATGTCACACAGGAAAAGATTCACCTTCTGCACTGGGCATCAGACAAGACTACAGCCAGACAAGACCAACAGCCAGCAAACTACTGACATCAAGGCAGGCTTAGGAATGGGAAAAGGAAAACCACAAACAGACATAACACTCAAAGAGTGGAGTTCTCAATAGATATGCAGAGCCAACGTAAGGGTTTGTACTTGATGGAAACAAAGCGTGATGCAAAGGATTCCTTCATCTTCGATTTGATCTTTTCCTTCTCCCTGCACAGCCCTGTGTCCCAGCCCTGCACTCACGCCCCTCTCTGCTTTAACTCAGAAAAATGACAAAACTATTCCAGCAGAAAACCAATAAAATAGACCACAAAAGGGTTCACCTCGCTAAAATGGCAGAAAATCAACAAGCACTGGAACTATGAAAAGCATAGGGAGGGGCTATGCAACTGGAGAGAAAGGAACAAGAGCTAGGCTTTTTGGTAGGCTGGCAGCTTGTGTGCCACTGCCTGTGAGGTCAGCTTCCTCAGACAGGATGCCTCCCTAGAAGGGGGCCAAAAGATCCCAGACAGGTCAAAGAAACAGCAAGGGGCAAGTTATTAATAAAACACATATTAGAACATTTCATAACTGTGACAGATGATGCAGCAGGAATCATTTAAAACACCTACCACGAGTGTCTTACTAACTACCCACCCAAAATTAAAACATGAAGTCAGATAAAAATTTAAATTACCTTTGCATTTTAAGCTAAAAKTAATAACTGACACTTACTGGTTCAAGACTCCCCTCGATCAGAATAACCATTGTCACTGCCATCTGCTGTCCCCATAATAACGCCTGACAAACGAGCCCAGGTTTCACCTAATCGCATTCCCAATTGGGCAAAACACTATTAAAACTGACCCAGCCTGGCATTCCTGGACTTTACAGGACRGAAGCCAAGAATTACACAGACCTCAAGAGCAGAACAGCTCACCAAAGGCACGTCGCCAAAAGGCTACTTCAAACTGAGCCCAGGAATGAATGAAAAGATGAAGCTGGAAGACTCAGAGATGGCAACTCAGTTTTTTCTTGAGCTGGACATAATATCGCTCACGGCAGATGTTTGGGTACAACACCGATTGCACCGTTAACCTCCCCAATAAAGTTAGCAGGTCTAATGATTGTACACAGAGTTTCATACACGCATAACCCAAGACTRGAAACCAGCCGCCTCTGCAGCCGAGTTCCACGCGAATGTGGGAACCCGAACGTGAAAAAAACATCTCCTCAGGTCACTGCTCCTACCAGCACGGCGCCTTCACTCAGCACTAGGCGGGCTGGGCTCTCCCAGACCTCTGGAAACGAATAACCCCGCAAGGCACCAGAGCCAGAACACAAAGCCATCCCCCGAGAGCTCTGCTCTCGCTGCCCGGAGGGCGCTGCGCGGGCGGCAGCACGGAGCCCCGAGGTGCAGATGAAGAGGAGCTGCTCTCCGGAGCCCTCACGGCCACCGTGTAGGCAGCTCACTCCCCTCACAGAGCTCCGCAGCGCAAACTCCGATTTTTARAACACAAACCATGAGGGAAACGCGGGGAGGCGGCGCGGCGGGGAGCGGGCGGCGCGGACCCCGCTCTTTGTTCGCCGCCGCGGGCAGGCCCGGCCCGGCCCCGGGCCCGACCCTCACCTCGCGGACGTCCTGCAGGCACTCGAGCACGGCGAGGTTGTTGGCCCAGCTGTGCTTGGAGCAGAGCCGCACCACGTCCTCCCGGCACACCGCCTCCTCCGACAGCTTCCACCCGCTGCCCGACCCGCCGCCGCGGGCACTCCGCGGGACGGGCGCGCCGGGCCCCGCCGGCTGCCCGGCTCCGGCTAGGGCASCGCCGACACCCGGAGCACCTCCAGCAGGGCCGGACGCCGCCGGCCCCGCCGCCAGCGCCAGCAGCAGGAGCAGCGCCGGGCCCGGGCAGCGGCTCCGGACACGTCCGCACGGCGCCATCTTGGATCCGCCACCTCCGGCGTCCGCCCGCCCACCCCGCGGCACGCACGGCGTATGCAAATCAGCGCGCCCCTGACGTAGCCACCGCGGGACACGCCCCTTCCCGGTGAGGGGGCGTGGCCTGTACTGGCCCCGCCTCCAGCACGCGCCGTGGCCCCGCCCCGGCCGTTGTCGCCTCAGTCGGACGAGGCGCTTCCGCAGGGGCCGCCGCGCCTTCACGGCCCCCACGGCCCCCGCCGCCCCTCAGGGCTCCCGCACTCCCTAAGCAGCCCCGCAGCCCCTCGGCGGCCTCGGCGGCCCCGCAGCCTTTCAGGGGACCCCGCCACCCCTCAGCGGCCTCGCACCCCTTCAGCGGCCCCATACCCCTTCAACGGTTCCCGCAGCCCCTCAACGGTCCCCGCAGCCCCTCAACGGCCTCCAGGTCCCACAGCCACGCAGGGCGACACTGCCGAGACAGCGCTGGTGCCGGGGACGCGAGGAGCCGAGCCTGGGCGTGCTAACCCCTSTGGGAAGGCGGCGGCAGGTGTCCGATAGCTGTGGTGAGTTTCTGCCCGAAATCTCTTATTTCCCACTCACAACTCGGTTGCCGCAGCGGCTGAGGAGATAGGAGACGTAATGGGGAAGCTGAGCTTTGCGGAGGACAGGGCTAACGAGCAGGATGAGGACAAAAATTTGAAGAAGGAAGAAAAAATACAGAGATACAAAGAAAAATTACAGCAGAACGAAGAGAAAATGCAGGCGATCAAAGCAAAAATTAAGAACACTGAGGACGAAATGCAGGAGATCAAAGAAAAAATAGAGAAGAATGAAATAAAAATACAGGAGTACAAAGAAAAAATAGAGAAGATTAAGGAAAATATATGGAGGAACGAAATGAAAATACAGATGAAGAAAGGAAGAGTACAGGAGATCGAAGGAAAAATACAGAAGAATGACGTACAAAATGTCATACAAAAAGATAACGTAACAAAAATATGGGCAAACAAAGACAAAATACAGGAGATCAAAGAAAAAATACGTAAGAACAAAGAAAAAATACAGCAAAACAAAGAGAAAATACAGCAAGCCAAAGAAAAAATGCAGCAAACCAAATTAAAAATACCGAAGAATGAAGAMAAAGGACGGAAGAGTGTAGCAAAACCAGAGAATGATATAAAAATACGTAACGACAAAGAAAAAGTACAGGACATCAACAAAAAAATACAGAACATCAAAGACAAAATACATGAGATCCGAGAAGAAATGCGGAAGAACAAACAAAAACCACAGGAAACCAAAGAAAAAATACGAAAGAATGGAGAAAAAATGCGGAAGAGCAAAGGGAAACTATAGAAGAATGAAGACAAAACATTGACTGGCTGCTAAAAACACCCAAAATCTTCAATAAAATGCTGACATTCAACTTTCTGCTGTCATTTCTCCATGCTGAGTGCCAAATTATCAGCTGGATTGATCTTCTGTCTATATATGGATGCACTCCTGGCCCTTCCTGGGGCAGGATACTGGGCTGGCTGGAGGGGACGAGATAAATCCAAGAGCCTAAACTAGGGTGGCCCAGCTGTGGAATAGCCACAGGRAGCAGAGAGCTGAACATGAGCAGAAAAATCACATTTTGGGGGTGCCATGAGACAGCTMATTTTTGGGTTTGGTGCATTGGCTGCAGCTCCTGTGCTGTCAGTGACAGACGCTCTGTTTTGGGGGCTGGGATTTGGCATGTCASTCCATATTAGCTCCASGATTTGTCCATGGAAATGGAGAGAWATAGGARTGATCTTATCTCCTATGAGGATCTGCAATGACTGATCCCATTGTAGATGAGATCTACAAGTTCCTCRTAGGGCATTAAGAAGGGGTGGATGCTGAATTTGGTGACAGATCATCTAAAAGCAGTGTTTGCAACCATGCAGCCCCCTTCGGAGCAGTGTTTTGGGGATGCTGCATCCCACTCTGCCCCAGCAGCCAGACACAAAATTTTGTTGTAAAAAAATACCTGTCCAGGTGTTGGGGCAGTGGCAGCAGTGGGACACAAGACCACCACCAGCTCAGCAACCACAGCTCTTCAGRTGTCCCCCCAGGATTCACCAGGCTAGCTCACAGCACCCTCCTAGGATGGGTTTGCCCCCATGTAGATCTCAGATTTTCTTCCAATGGCAGATGGAAATGGGGGACAGAGAGAATCCCACCTTAATTCCTCTGCCTGRGTGACTTCAGGAGCAGTTTTCCCAGCACAAGCTGGCATCAGGCCAAAGTCAGAAGCTTTAGCCTGGATGCCAGGATGCTCCATGGGTGTGCCCTGGCTCAGTGAGCTGGGGAAAGCAGAGCTGTAAGGCTGCTCCATTCCTGCCCCAGGCTGCCTAGTCCTGCCTGAGAGAAACTCTTCTCTTGGGAATACCACTGTTTTACCCAATCCAGGAGCTACTTGAGCGCATCTTRAGCCCAGTGTGACCACCAACCTGCAGGTGAAGGCARGGGCAGGAGAGGGAGGTGCAAAGTSTGCATGCTTCTTGTGTTTGAATGTCACACTGGGACACAGTGCTCAGGAAAGTGGATTTGTGCTGGCACCCCGGGGCTGCACAGCTGGGAACACTTGAAAACAAAAGCCAGCAAAATCCAGTCCGTGCTTGGCAACCGATTTGGTTTAGTGGGAATTATTTGAAGAGTTAGCCCAGTGCAAGAGCTGGCTCTGCTCCTCTATCCGTCATAGGAAGAGGATGGAGCGGAGCAGTGGAGCTGGGTCACYGCTCACTTCTTCCCACACCTTTGGCAGATCTCCAGAGACCTTTTTTTTTGCTCAAGGAACACCTCCCAACCTTGGGTTTTACTATCCACTGTGTAAACAGGCATTAACTTAACTACACTAACTGTGTAGTCCACTGTATAAACAGGCATTAACTTAAAGAGCCCTATGCTCACCATGTCCACACAGTGAGTTAAACAAGGAGGAGGTTTTTCTTTGGGCACAGCGACATCTCTGCCTTTGTGATAAACCTCAGTGACTCCTTGAAGTWCAGCCCCTCTCCTTTGGCAGAAATTCCCTTATCACCTAATTTTAACCATTTTACTAGTAAGGTTCTTACCCTCTGGGTGCTGCTTTAAGCACTTGCAGGCCCTGCTTTTGCAGTGGACAGCACATTTCAGTCTCATCACCTCAAGCAATAAACCCCACTTATATGGCCCCAGCTCCGCAGAGCAAGGCTGGGATGAGCTGAGCTGAGCGGCTGGAACACCTCTTRCTTCTTTCCCWGCAGTGTCCTTCCTCTCCAGCTCACCACTTCAGGTTGAGCAAAAGTACAACCGTACTCCTCCATGTGGAGGAACTGCTCCAATTTTTAATTGGATACAGACTGCTTGCTCCCATGTGGCAGCTACGAATCCCAGCTTAGCCTCCACGCAATGTCCTGACGCCCTCTCCCTTGCATCCAGCCCAGCTCAGCTGCCTCTCTCCAAAGCTTTGCGTTCCCCAAAACTTCAGCACTGCCTTTCCCAGTGGATGATCCTCTCCACCAACAAATCCTGCTGCAGAAAACTGAGTCAAGCTGCCATCCAGTGCTATTTCTTGCTGGCTAATTCAACAACACTAGCCTGGTGTTTCGTGGTTTATTTGCATGACACACACAGGTTAAGCCCATTCTGTTTCAGGTTTTCTTGTAGGTGAGAGTCCTGCAGTGCTGCTGCTCATCCACATTTGGAAACAAGCAGAAGGCCATGGAAATACTCAGCCTCCAAGGAAGCTGTGGACAAAGAGGAGACAACATTTCAGCTGCAACCTGTGAGYGTTGAGCGCAAGGGGAGCTTCGTGCCTCTCAGGAACAGCTTTTCAGCCTGACATGGCATTTGTTTTTCCCCAAAGAGGGATGCTGTTGACACATCTTTGCCTCACAAACCCTCAGAAACCCCAGGTCATAACTGCAGAGACTGTTGCCCCCCACATTGATGCAGCCCTGTGTTGCAGTTAGTGCCTACCTTTAGGAAAAAAATACTGACAATTTTCCATCCCTTCCTTCAACCTGCCACAGTTCTTTCCCAACCCTACTTCTGCTTTCCCAAGCACTCAGTGCTGCTGCCAGCTTGATGCCATCGGAAGCACAGGGGGCTTTCTCCCCCTTCCACGACCTCTGCCACTAGCGGAAGAACCAAAYTGGACTTGATGCAAGACCAAAGTCCCTGGACCCTCAAATTAATTACGCTTCAAAGGTGGGATAATCACTGAAATTAATTTGAGACATTTTTTTCTCTTGACCAGCACATGCTGGAGAGAGCCTGTTACCTGTAAAGTTTGTCCCAATGATTAGATAAGCTTTCTAGGATGTAGATCTCCAAATTCCTCTTTCTGTTGCACTTAGAGGTACTATTTTCACAGAATCACAGAATATGCTGAGTTGGAAGGGGCCCACAAGGATTACCAAGTCCAAGTCTTAGACCTACACAGGACCATCTCCAAGAGTCACACCATGTRCCTGAGCCCATTGTCCAAGTGCGTCTTGAACTCTGTCAGGTTTGGAGCTGTGGCCACTTCCTTGGGGAGCTTGTTCCAATGTCCAACCCACCTCTGGGTAAAGAGCCTTTTTCTAACATCCAACCTAAACCTCTTCTAACACCCTGACACAGGCTMTTCTCTCGAATCCTKTCACTGGTCACCACAGAGAARAGATCAGTGACTGCCCCTTCTATTCCCCTCATGAGGAAATTGTAACTGCAATGAGATCTCCCCCCAGTTTGCTCCAGGACTGAACAGACCAAGTGACCTCAGTTGCTCCTCATACAGGTTCCCCTCAAGGCCCTTCACCATCTTCATTACCCTCCTTTGGATGCTCTGTAACAGCTTAATATCTTTTTTATATTGCAGTGAGAAAAACTGCGCACGGGACTCAAGGTGAAGCTGCAGCAGTGCAGAGCAGAGTGGAACAATCCCTGTCCCTCATCTGGCTGGTGCACCCCAGGACAGTTTCCCATGGGCCYGCAGCACCCACTGCTCGTAATACCAGAGTACCCACAGCTCTGGCTGCCATCTGAGCACAGTCCATCTCTTTTAGCAAAGACAGGTAATGTGAGCAGGAGGCATTTCTGCCTCCTCAGCATTATCTCTAACTATCAYAAAAGCAAGTAAACAATGATAAATACCATTATCTTAAGTGAGGGAGGCAGTTGACATTAACTCATGCCTGACTTTGCAAGCTGAGTGCTTGCAGGGGCTGACAGCAGCTCAGCTGAGGCAGTCCTGCTGCTGAGGCACTGTGACCCCCCTGCTCAGTTTTCCAGGGGACTCTGCAAGGATTAACGATGCAGCTGGACTCAGTGTTCTGAGCACTCAGCTGATCCACATTGCAAATCGAAAAAGCCTTCAAGGGAGGCTTTAGAAACTTCCTAACAGAAACTTAAAAGTGCCATCCCAGCAAGGGTAACTGCAGCCTCTTCCAGCCTCTCTCAACCGTGAAATATATTCCTTCACATTTACTAGTTCTGGCATTCAATGCAGATCAAACCCAACAGAAAATAAGATCTTGCTTCCTCCTTCCTTTGCTTCCCTCTTTTTTCTCCTCCCTGAACAGTTTTTTTTCCCATATTCTCTCTCCCTCACAAACCAGCAGAAATCTAGGTCTGTTAAGGAATTTACTGCTTTGGTAGAAAATCTGCAAATCTGCATAAGCAGAAAATCTTGTCACGTCCCTTCACAAACTGAACAGGAGATCTAAATGAAATCCCACTGGGATGGTCTGGCTACCTCAGTATACCAGGTTCAGCTTGAGCTGCTTGTTTCATTTGCTACATTGCCTGGTTGTAATCCAATTTGGTTTGGGACACAAGTAGCTGCTTTTCAGCCCTCCAGGAAGCAGTGGGTACAGCCAGAGCAGAGCAAAGCACTGCTGGGTCCTGCTTCGAGTGCACAGACACAACACCCCAAGCTGGGCTCCTTTCTTGGCTCCTGCATTAGTATTACCTTTTGTCATCTAAAACGTTTTTGATTATTTGTCAAAAACTCACCAGAGTAATTTCAACAGCTAAAGCACCAGGGTAGGTGCTAGGGCAGCAAAGCTTCCAYGATGTGGAGGCTGGGAGCTGCTTCCTCACCTTGCTGCCCAGGCTTTGCTCACCCCATGGATCACCACAGCCTGACACCAGATCATCCCAGTTAGAGGGAGCCATGGGGGACAGCCCTTCTCTGGAAGCATGGTTCCCCACCTTCCCCTTCCCCACAAGCCACCCCCCAACACCACATCTCCACAGGGAGCAGCAGGGGCTGGGTTGTTGTGTGYCAAGCAGCCACCACAGCCAGCTATGGCCAGCACTGCACTGTCCTCCAGGACTGCTTTTACAGGAACTAAAATTAAAAAAGGTACTGCCCTGCAATAGCCTGGAGAAAAATATTTAAAAATGTCCATGCACAGCTWAGAGCAAGGCCCTGTCTGCAGGAGATACAGCACTGCCTGGCTTTACCTATCACCTCACACCAGATTTACTACAGGAATTGCCAAGGGGCCACCCTGCTCCACGATAACAAAATCTTCCCAGAGACAGAGGCAGAAATAGCCACATAGTGGCTTCATGCCTGAAACACCAGCAACACAGCTCAGTCTCTCATGACAGCTGCCCTGCACAGCACAGAGACACTGATTAGTTTTACCCTTCCATCCCAAATCTGCCCCTTTGACTCCAGACAGACATGAGCAAATATTTAATTAACACATCTGACCTTTTATCAGCGCTCAGTGCTGATGGCTTTCTGTACACTAGTTAGRTGTGCTTTCCTGCAGCCTTCTGCAGCTCGGGAGTAGGACAGTGTTACAAGATTTCCTCATGCATCTTTGAACATTTTCTGACATTGTGAGTTTGAATGCCCAAGTGTTACCTTCCATTATTTTAACAGTATTTAAGTTTGTATCTCTTACACCTGTACAGTGGTATAAAGYAGAAAACAAGTGTTACTCAGAAAACTGAAAATCAAAGGACTACCTAGAAAATCAAAATCAAAACATTCTTTTTCCTGTGTATGTTTCAAMCTTTCCAAATTTCTTGTGGTAAGATGGGGTTGGAGTTGACAGAACATAAATGACGCTTCAAAATAGCTGAGAACAAGCAGCTCATTGTACTAATCTGGCAGAGAGCATCCTGCTCCTTCTGGTTTAGCTGTTACCAGAGACCTTCTCACAATGTCATTCTACCAACCCTTAGTTCCTGATCATTGTTAAAATGTCAAAAATTCTCATATCTGTTTAAAGGATATCCCAAGTGTGTAGCCTGATCTTGCTTAGCCCTTTCCCTTCCCCTCACCTGGCCAGATCAGGATGGTTCAGCAAGGAGTCATTTACTAAACAGCTTCATTATTTCAGCCTGAAGCTCATTGTGACCTGAAAGTAACATAAAGCAAGAGAAACCTCACCTACGTAAGGGAACCCTTGGTTATGTTTGTAAGACATGCAGTGAATGTAACTGAGACCTATTTTCAAAGTACAGCAGCACCAGTTATATATGATAATTATAAAGACTTTATTTTTACAGTATAAAAATATAGGAATAAAGTACTATACAGAAAAATATAAAGTTGAGTTGAGATCTCAGTCCCATTTAAGACAAACAGGATCACATTGTGCAAGCCTCAGACTTCAAATAAAATTATCCTGGCAGYTGAAGTGGTGACACACTCAATCTGAATGGGACAACTGCTGCACACCAAATCCAGAGGTAGAGGTGTGCCAAGAAATAACCTTCCAGCACAGGGAACTTGTCTTGCTGCTTCCAACAGTCTCACAAGTTTGAGTCTGTTACACTTCAAATGGAACTGAAGACCCCCTCTCCATGATCTGACCTGGAGATCAACACCCCAGCCCTCAGAGTATKAAAAGTAAGGTGCTAAGAGCCCACCTGCTCACACACATCCTTGAGCTGTGATCCCACCCGATGGGCTCACATATACATAAACCAGTGGCTGCAGCATGCTCACACAAACACAGCTGGAAGCTCTCTGTGACCAGTTGTGAGCTGGAAACTGTGATTTAAGGAATGCATGAGGTCAGTAAAAACAAGCTGATGAAATCCCTGAACTTCCACCAGTTCCTCAAGACAGAAAAAAGGCAACTCTCCTACCCCCAAACAACAAAAGCAGCCAGCATTCTTTTCCAATGTAATGACTGTTTCATACATTCCTGTCTTTAAGGAAGAACACTGGACTGCTTGCAGCCATCAGTACAAGAATCATTTCCCTCTTCTTTACCTGTACTTCTCCAGYGCTATTTTCATTTTTCACAACCAAACTATCCAAGTTTGCTTGCAGGTAAAGCAGGAAGAACAGAAGGGAAAGGAGGCAGAGAATTTAGGAATTACAGTGCACATTATATGCTCATGGAAAAAAAAAACCACAAAGGAAAAAGGTTCTCTGTAGATTTTCCAAGCCTGTTCTCTCCGTGGCCCCAAAACAGGAACCATCCTTGTTAGGGAATAACTGCCAGCTGACCCTAGACCTTCAATAGAAKGTTGGGAGCGTGTTCCCCACAGCAGTGAACTTGCTTTCACACTGTGTATCAGCAATGCTATGAGGTGCCTTTTCATCACCCAGTAATCACAGCAGGATTCCACAAGAAAGTGCAGTGGGAGTCTCAGGTCTTCAAGCTCCTCTTATTTTATTCATTTGTAGCAGAGATTTGGAAGTCCCTGTGCTGCATTCACAGTAGAAAAAAAGTGCAGCAACACATGCTGGAGACACTCCAGGAATTATTGCTGTGCTGAGGCAGCTTGTGGAGTTTGACTAAAAAAAATGACAAAAGAGGAAATAAGGGCAGGCCTAAAGAGGAATACAGAAAAGAAAGGAATTGCTCTGGGCACCAGCATATCCCAGTTCCTTCCACTGCTAGAAAGGTGCTGTAATGGATCCTGACTCCTGTAAGCATCACGTGCAGGACTGAGCAGTTGTGTAGGGTTATCAGCAGCATATTTGGACAGTCTGTGGCAAGTGTAGGGACAGTTCATTGCCACTTATAGACATTCACCATCTTCTCTGTCAGAGTAGCCAAGAGGTGGGTTTGGTTCACTTCCAAGGGRCAGATATCCAGCACAGGCAAGTCAGCTGGCAGCTTCTGCAGCAAGGAACCACTTCCAGCATCCCAGAGCTGTGGGAGGGACAGACAAGGTCAAGGACTGAGGGATTCTTCCCTCCTACCCAAAAGAAACCTTCTTCTCTCCAGAAAATATTTTGTCCCTTTACCCATAGGACCTTTTCTCTACTTCCACACCCTGCTTAGATGGTCTTTAACAGACACACAATGCTATCCTGAACACCCTTTCTGACCCCACTCATGAGCTCTCATGCAGTCTGTTGTCCATCTTCTGGTTTTGGGCTGCTTTTTTTACATAAAGGCCAACCCTTCTCCTCCTCTTCCCCATCATTTCTAAAAAGCCTGCATTCTCCTCCTGCAGCACTTATCCCACACCAGCTATCCCACTGAGTCTGGTACGCCACCCAGAAGTCCCAGTTGTGTCATTGTGCCCAACCCCATTCCCTCGAGGGACAACAGGGGCTCACTGCCTACATGCCCTTTGATGGATGGGGACCACAGGCCTTGGCTAAGACTGGGAGTCCCACCCTATCAGGAATTTACACCTGCCACAGCAGTAAAACAGACCAAGCAGGGCAGTGTGCATGACAAGACAATTCCCACCCAATCACACTGATGGTGTCACTGATAAGGCTTCTCTCCCAAGAACTGCAATAAACCCCTACCCCATACTGAAAGGACCAAGACATACCAGGGCAGAATTGGATGCCTCATCACCAGCACACACAAAGACACTCCCATCATCCTCTGGGCTCTGAAAAATGGCATTTTTGGTCAGCAACTTGCAAGTGGGCCCAGCACTGAARGTCTGAACCGGGTTAGAAGAACACACTACATCTTCAGAGGCCTCCGTCAGTGGGCTGCAAGTCAGTTCCATCATCACACAATGCACACATGGGTTATTTTTACCTGTGTAGTAGAAATAAAAATTTTCACTTTTGAAAAATGTACTCACAGACAGGCTTCAGSTGTAGGAATACAAGCAGCACCACTTTACAGCTGCCTCCTTTTGCCCACCTACAATTTTTATCTAATTGCAGATGCTCATTGCTCTGGTGAGAGCAGGTGCTGTTTCTGCTGTGMCCACAGCATCAAAGCTGCTGCCTAGCTCAGCCCAGAGCAGTGAGAAGCAGTGGGCAGAGCCCTGCAGACACACCCCAGTACCTACCAGGCCTGTACGTGGCCAGGCAGTGCCGTGTGTTGATCTCTGTTTGGAGATCRATGCAGCCTCCAGGTTCCAGGGGCAGGTGATGAGGCCTGTAGGAGTTGCCAGCTTTCTGTTCCCAAAAGCAGGCTCCTTCCAAAGTCCCAGCCAATATTCCACCGTAAGGCAGTGATGCTGAAGCCATCCGGGGCAGGTAGGACAGTGATACCATGGGGCACCTGCAAAGGTCATTGGCAAATGTCAGGGCTGTCAGCTGTCTCACTGCTACAGAGCTCCAGTTCTGCATGGTGAACAAAGAGCCTAAGCAGGCTACRAGATGGTTCTTCAAGCAAGAAGCCCCAATGGATGTGTCAAGTGTAAATGAAATTCAACTTAACTACTGAGCCTTATCCTTTACAGAAGTACCAGACAGCACACATCAGATGAGCACAAATCAGCGTTTCRTTCCCAGAGTATAAGAAACAGAACTAGCAGAATTTCACACCTCTTTGTGATTTGTCCTTTCAAAATTAGATATAGAATCCAGCTCCAAAACTACTTCATGCTGCACCAATGGGTCTATTTCTGACYCTTGTGTGCCTTAAAAAGAGCACAAGTGCTTGGCACCTGCATAAGTTATATGTATACACCACACAACCTTATGAGARACTTCTCACAYTTGTGCTAAATGTGAATTTTTGAAMAAGAGATTCACATAATAYAGTTTAAACTACTGAAATTGTTGTGTGATTTATGGAAAAAGCTGTGTTTAACTTGCTGTATATTAGTTGAGAAGAATGACAAATCCTTCTGCCATACCTGGACTTCTGAGGGACTAGTTCTTGGACATGAGAGTTTGTGTCTCTCAGATCATATATCATGATAGAGCCATTGACTAATCCAGCATAGACATAGTTTGTATCATCAAGACACCAGCAGCAGCTCCACACAGGACGGCCAGCATTGTATGTCTGCACCACAGTGTTTGTTGCCAGGCTGCAGAAGAAAAGCAAAGTGTTGGCCAGTTGCACAACCATCTACTGATGGAGAAAACAGCACAATTAAAGTAAGCTAATCTAGCTTTTTAAAATCTTTAGACAAAAGCATCTCTCTTTGGACCAAATTCTCAATTAACTCCTCCTTTACTCCAGACATGAATCTAAAAACCCAAACAGAATAATCCCTTGGATATTGTCAAGTGATTTATAATTCTTCCAGGCCAATGCTTCTTTTTCCAGATTGATCTTTAGAGACTGGGAGAGGAAATCTCACAGCAGGGTCTCAGCTGCCTTACTGGCAAGAGAAAGCTAAGTTACTTTTCTGGAAACAATTAGGAGAAGCAGCTCTGGTGTAATCCCATAATACCACATATTCCTGAGATCRCAGGGCTCAATTCTTCAGGTTACATCTCTCATTAATTATTTCCCCTCTTTTTACACAAAAGAAACAGTATTTATGCAAAAAAAAAATCCAATTTAAGCAGGAGTGAGACAGTGAGTGGGGTAAGGAAAGCACATTTATAGTCCTCATTCTTTCTTCTACAAATTGAGCTTCTAAAAAAGAGGGGAGTCCACCGAGGGGCAGCAGATAAAGTTGGTGTCAGACCAAGATGTATTTGCAAAGGGCAGCATTGTCAACATGCATTTGCACACTGAGAACAGCAAGAGACAGAAGACTGCACAAATCAAAATAACTCCAGATACCCTTTATAACACATGTGCTTCTCCCTGGGGAAGGTGACTATGCTCAGGACTCCAGAGAAACAAGTAACTGCTTCCAGGTAAGTGTAAGGGGAACAACTACAAAGACATAGCTAGGGAACAGGGAGTTTGATATGAGAGCAGTGACTGAGTCCAAACAACAGGACAACAAAAATCTAAACAAAAATCTAAACAAATTCACAGTGCTATTTTAAACAACTGCAAGCCAGAGCAAGAGACATAAAGACATCTTGGATAATTCCTTTGGGAAGGATGACTATGAAATAAGTAATTAGAGAAGAAAGACCAAAAGAGGACTATTCTTTCAGAGGGAGACTGAAAAAATACGAAGATSCTGCTGAAGCAAGCACCTGACTCTAAGACAATCTGGGATCAAGCACAAAAGCAAGAGGATCACAAGCTCTGAGGCAGCCAACCAGGCAGTGAGGGGAAGGTAGGGGAGTTAAATGTCTGAGCAGACATTGCAATGACAAGTTGCTCTTCAGATTAACTCATTAAAAGAATATCAGTCTTATCAATTAGAAATCTGACACATTGACTTAAGCATCAAAGACACTTTTGTTTASTATTAACTAGTCTAGCAAATGTTTCAGCATGGTTACAGGAAAGCAACACTCTGTACATCTTTGTTGCAGGATTAAATTCTCTTCATTTCTTCACTATGGGGAAGAATTGAGACTAACCAGCCACACAACAGACACTTACCCTGTCTAACCCAATAGTGACAAACAAATTGCACAGAGATGTTAATATAACTCAATAAGAATCAATCAACCAATAAGGTTTTGAAGCACTGTAAAATTAAGACCTCAGAGCAGCAGAGCAGCAAGAAAACACACTCATAAGGTGTAAATTCTAACAGGACTGGACACATTTTTCTCTCAGTCTCCAYATAATTAGTCTCCAACCTGCTGCTTTAAGTCTCTGCTAGAGCCTGTAGCACATGCTCAGCAATGCTGTTTATGCATTTCATACCCCAGATGAATTCTATGATCTGCAAGAAGTTTAAAATGGGAGAATCCAACACCAGTGCAGGGAAGGAAGACCCCAGCCCAACCACCCCCTCCTTCTGCTTTATGCTGTACAAGTTCCAACGCCTCCCTGCAGTAACAGAAAACCAAGTGGACAGTAAATGTCACATCTATACATTACATTACATTTATTCTCAACACAATTAGCCAATCAGTGATGAATCACTTGTTTTCCATCAAGTTCTCCACAGGCAAACTATCAGAGAGAGGTAACTCCATGACACCTCCACCTTAAAGATGCAAAAGCATGGATAAGTCCTCCCCTCTGTTTGTTCCCACATGCAGGAAGAATACRCAGACCTGATCTCATCTTTGCAGCGCCTTTCAGAAAGCAGAATAGCAAGTGCTGCAAGACAGAACAAAACCCAACCCAGCCTCTTGCACACAGCCAAACCCCACAGGGGCAGGCAGTAGGACTCACCTGGTGAGTTTAAGAGTGTTGTCTAGGGCAGCAGAGAGCAGCAAACCATCTGCTCGAGTGCCGAAAGCCAGGGCCCGAATCTGCTTAGYGTGGATGGGGATGTACTGACTGCTCTTCAGGTTGGCCAAGCTCATCATCTTAATACCGTAACCTGACAAAGAAGAAGGGTAAAGCASGTTATTGCAAAGCAGCACATGCATAGAACTTGCTATTCTATGCCAGAACTACAAATTCTGTATTGAAGCCTGTGGTGGGATGATCATGTAARTTATTTGCTGTTCTGGATAAAAACCACCACAAATCATTCTTRAATTCAAATGGCAACAAGGTAAAATCCTTAAGGATCCCAGCCAGCGAGAGCAAATTCAKTATCAGTGTTACAGTTCTTGTTACAAGGCCTCTGCTCTTTAGCCAGCTTCTTCAAAGACTCTTGCCCAGATAAAACCACAACAGAGCAGGATTACATGGCTATTTGAAAGAACAAACATCACTCAAAGAATGGCTCCAGGTGAACTTAACCTGTGTGCTACAAGAGTCACCACAAAGCCTCCATTCAGAGATTCAGTCCCTGGAYAAAAATACCAGGAAAGTGAGACCAGTTAAATGTGGAAAACCACTTTGTTATGCCTAGATAAGGCAYATTAACCTCAAACCCATTAACCAAATAAAGTAAGTTTCATCAGTCAGAAAGCATTTTGCAAATAAGCGCTCTCAGACTCCTAATGCCACATCTATTGCACCAAAAAAGCTACTGGCACTGGTCCAGATGTCAGGTCACTGGCCCCCAGATAGAACAGCGAGACAAAACCAGGGTTGCTCGTGACTTCTTGGCTTCCTGTTTCCTCATTAGAAAACAGTGCTTCAAACATTCATATTAAAAGGCTTTCAGTTTTGGTTGGTTTTGTTTTTTTAAGAGTATTGACAAATCAGCTGCATGGGGAGCAATCCATCTACGATTTGGGAAGCAGTGTTTCTCACTTAACTACTGGAAGCTTCTCTGCAGACCCCACTGCTTGGCCCCTTGTTCTTTCAGAAGACTCCCCTTTGCAAGGATTATCAGACACAGCTTTTACCTTCTTGTGGATGTGGCATTCTAGCAGGAGTGCCAAAGACTCTCTGCTAGGGCTCTGCCATRGAAGTGCCAGGGGAAACAAGCTCCTTTGCCAGGCAGAAGCCACCAGTGCAGGGACCAGATGAGCTATGGGGAGTTTTCTGAGTATTCTCAGTTTAAGTGGCACATGCCAAGGTCCAGCAGAGAAACACGGAGMAGGGATAAAGCAGCAATGACATTAACTCTTCCTTATGAACCCCCAAATGTTGACTYGCTTAATTACCAGGAATAAAAGTAGATTGTGGAGAAGGCTGTGATACCACAAGACAACTCAGTGAGTCACAGTATGCCATTACTCTGCAGTTCCCAGCCTGAGACACCAAAAAAACCTTTTCCAGGTGGTACTTGCGCTGGCTTTGGCTGGCGGGGAGGCTGCCTGGGAGGCAGGCACGGGAGCTGCCAGGTTGCTGGGATGTGCTCACATTGTACTGGGCCACCAGAGCCTTCAGCTCCTGCAAAGAAAAACCCCAAAGASCTTTAATCCACCACCAGCACCTCCAGATGTTCCAGCTGTACTTGTTCTTAGATAAAAGAGAGAAATTCAGTCCYATTTCCATACTGTTCCTGAAGTGCTACATTTCTAAATCTATGGCCTATGACAGTGAGCACCAGTAGCATTCAAATGCTGTGTGGATTCTGGCAGAATGTACTCGAAGTTTGTTGTTGTATGTGTTACACCCTGTGAAAGAGAGGACTCTTGGGCAACACATAAAAGCCAGTAACAATTATTACCAGATCAATGCTGTTTAGAAGAGAATGAACTGCCAAGTGTTATGCACTACTAAACCACAAGAGAAATTCAATTAAAACCATTTTCCAGAATTTCCAGAATACCCCATAAAAAAAATAAAAGCCCAGGACTCAACATAAAGGGCGTTGCAGGAAACAAGACAGTCTATTTAATGATGATGACCCTATTCTTGTAAACCCTGTGCAGCAAATTCCAGGAACGACACAACTCTCAAGAGCTTCAGTCCTGTTTTCTACCACCTCCTCCCCTCTTTCCCTCCACCTCATCTGATGAATGCTCAAGAATGCTGAGCAAAGGCAYAGCCAAGAACAGCTTCCATGAGGAACAAAGTATTCCTTAAATTCCTTTTTCTGCTGAGATCATCAGGGGTGAGGTGGGAATCCAGGTAGGGACACCAGCATATTGTGAGTCAACTAAAAGTGTCCCTTTCAAAAAAGCATTTTGACCATCTTGTAATCCAAGGTCAAAAACAGACAGTACAGAATCTCAGGCAGATTTAAGAGGGAAGGTATACTGAAGGAAAATTGATACTTGCTTTATGTCTTCTGAGCAATGCAGGATGTGTTTCAAACACTATATAATCTTTAAACAATTAAGGGTCACAGAAGCAATATTATGAATAAATCAGTAATTGCAAGTCAGCCTCAATACTGAACCAGCCACCACCACTCAACTTGCATCAAAGCAAAGGCAGCAGTTTTCAAAGAGGCAAGGTTGAAGATCAAACTCTACATTAATAGTTATCAAGACCTATAACTTTTGGAAACTGCTCAAGAGGAGAGCAGTTCTGACACTTTACAGAGGTCTGATCTGTTTGGCATCAAGCACATTACAAATGTCCCCAGGGTACAGAAAAATTAAAAAAAAAAAAAAAAAAAAAGAAAAAAAGGAAGCTGAAGACTCCAGACGATCCCATTAGAGCAAGAAAAGACAAAACAAACTGGGCAAGGAAGAAAGGGTGTGAGGGTTGTTAGGATGCTTATGACGAAAGCTGTAGCTTCAGGCTTAGAGTAAGCAGTCAGTGAAAACACAGGTAACTTAGAAGAAAGTAACTTCTAATAAAAAATTTAATAACTCATTATTTCTAAAAGGTGAGGGGAGGAGACCAACACCACTGGGGATCAGAAGAGATTAAAATTATGTGTCGCTCTGGGGACCTAACAAAATCCTCCTTGTCACCTGCACTCAACATTAAACTTTCACACAAGTTATTAAAAAGGAAACCAGGCAATTAAAATCACAAGAACTATTAGTACAATGTTTACAYTTAAACACAATGGACAAACCCAGCACAACCAGGAAGTCTTACTGGAGGCACATTACCAAGATGATTAAAAATTGTGCTGCAGACAAATTCCACTAATTGTGCTTAAAAGAACACKCTGTTCATTATGCAAATCCTATATTTTCCTTTAAGATGTTTTGCAGAGTTTTTCTGATGCCTGTTGTCAACTAAAGGCCTTGAGAGCAGACTCCTCTCTCTGCACATGCTATGACTGTCTCTAGATTTYAGCTTGGCTTTGCAGTGATGAATGAACACAGTCACACCAGGGGGAAAGAATGGGCTATATAGCAAAATACTTCCTGAGGAGCATGCAGGAGGAGAAGCAGGAGAGCACAATGAATAGGAAAGAAAAACCACCAGCTRCAATAAATTCAGAAGAGTTTTGAGTATTAGGTTACAGTCGTAATAGCTGATATGAAGCTTTAAAGACAAAAGCAGGTATCAGTGACTGTCACTCTCTGGCTGTTTCCCACAGAGCTCTTAAGCCACACCTGCCACCTTGCACTGCACAGCCCCAGTCCTGCCTTTAATAGAGAAAAACAGGACAGGACAGGACAACCTCAAGCTGGCTGTTCTCAACCTCAAAGTGGTGCAGCACTGCAGATGTTCCACCTTCCACCTCCCTTTAGGGTTTGGGTTCAAACTCAGGCTAAAGGACATGGAGCCTTTTTTACTGGCTTCACTATAAGCAACAGCAATGGAATACCAGCTTTTACTTCCCCAGACATCATAAAGATGAACAATTTTTATGCAATAAAGCAATTAGCTTTATTTTTTTTCGAGAGGTTTCACAAGTTTTTATTTTTTTGKATGCTCTGAAAATCCTATTTTTAAAAAGCTTTTCCAATACATCAAGCAATGTAAACTGATCCCTGCAAGGCTCACAATTACATTTGCTTTCTTCTCCACAGCACTGTGAAGTCTCCTGTCATTTCCCTGCCAGTTCTCCTTTTCCTGCTCCATGCCCAAATACAGCAACTGCTTCCTATGTGCAAAAATCAAATCTCCTCCCGAAGYTGATCAGTGCTATTAATACCAGAAGCTGGAGATGGTTTGCTACTTTTACTGCAAATGTTGGCAGATTCAGGAGGAGTATTGCAGTAGCTCACATCTCATTCCCAAGTTCTTTCTGYTCCCAAAGGAAAAACATTAGGTAAAAGTAAGGTGTCAATAGCACTGGTTCCAAAAGACAAGGCTAAACCTGACGTGTGGTGGGCAGGACACAGCTCAGCCCATGCTCCTGAGGGCTTTCTTCCAGACCTCCCCTCAACTTCAAGTTCCTTTTTACAGGTATTTTCATGTAGCTAAAGACTTAAAACCCATCAATTTCCTAGCCTCAATCATGTTACATACATCAATGACAAAGTACAATAAGACTGTTAATGGGTAAGAGCAGGGAAAATTGCATACAAACCTGAAAAAAGGTCATAACTAGTGCCATGACTGCTGCTGGGCACAGCTTAAGAGCATTAGTGACAAAAAACCCTGAACAACCCAACCCTACACTGCAAATATCCAACCAGGGCTGGGCTAGAAACCTCCCAACCTAAAAGCATCTGTGCAAGTAGCTGCTTTACTATATGACTTCTCATAAAACAAGGAACTCATTARGCATCTGTTCAAAATATAATCAAACAAGCTGAAGACTTATTGCAGACTTCCTGCTGWTTTTTTTTGCTCCCCAGTATATTATTTTACTTTACATTTACTCACAGTATAAACAAGCACCTTAAAATTGCTTCCAGCATTTGCATTAACCACTACAGGACAATGATGAATGCAGTATAAATACTGAAACAGAGCTTAAAAAACACAGGGTACTTAATCTTTATAACATGTGACTTCAATTCAGTTAGACTGAATACTCCATCATTTAACACCAAATGAATTGCAGGAAAACATTATAGACCTGCACTTTTATCTTATTTGCATTTTTCTTTAGCCAAAGTGTAAACTGGACCAATTTTCTTATTAGKGATGATGAGCATATGGCTTCATGCAGGAATTTAGGCAATTTATGAAGCCTTATGTCMCACAGGAATACTTCAGCAAAGAAGATGTTTAATGTACACATATGAATAGCCAAGGCTATTAAAAAAATCCAGGAATAAAGAAAAGCATAAAATTAAAGCAGGCTGCTAGACAGTGAGAGCATATCATCTGCCTCATGCAGATGCCCAGCAGCAAAAGGTAGCAAACTGGCAATGAAACAGGCTCTTGGAAAACCTAGCACTGGTGGAATACACCAGCTAATTCACAGCTGGAAGCACCAGCAGAGTCCRTAACTTATAGGAATCCAGCTGGGATGGGTTACAAAATATCTCAGTATTGCATAAGCCAAAAGGAAGAAGTCACTTAACAAGCCATCATTTACTGTCAGTAATTTGTGCTCTAAGAGGTGCCTCTCAGAAGCTGCTCAGCACATASAGCCTCCCCTACTGACAGGCCAGGTCCCAGGGCTCCAAAGGGTGCTAAACTGCAATGTTGACTAACCTTCAAAAAACCCCAGACCCCTAGGGTTTTTTATTGTATTCTTTTGATTTTACAAGTAGCCAAGCCTCTTCAAAAACTGCTTCTCAAAGGCTCTTAAATAACCAGTGATGACAGGTTGTATTACAGGTTYACTACAGAGATTTCTAAAACTTTGATGCAACTACAAGAAAAATRAGAAGAGTAAGTCTAGTTCTGGCCTTTCCAGGCACCACAAAACCTGAGGAGGAACCTGCAAAATCACCAGCCAAAAAACTCTACTGCTGGTCTGCAACATCAATTAAGTCTTAAAAATACAAAAAAAAAAGTCAGTGTTATTGTAGCAGACACAAATATTCCAGTCTGGGATGTTTTTACCAGCTTGGGATGATTCACCAATTGAGTTTGCTAAAACTTGCTGATTATTAAAGCTGGAATCCTGTCTTCTCTCCTCTAAGGGAACATGGAAAAGGCAGATTGAAGAGAAAGGAAATCCTGTGTATATTTGTAGCATGAGACTCACCTGAACTTGCTTGCGGAGTTTGCTGCATTCATCTGTCAGAACCTGGAGTTGGAGACGGCTCTGTGCAGATTCCARCTCTGCCTGTCTCCGCAACATTTGCTCCTTTTCTAAAGAGCTGGAGGAAAGAGAGAAAAGCAATCTTTAGGACTAGGTATTATCTAGGATGCTTTWCTGGGCCATCAATTCCTGCCCTCTGACTTCATCCCACCATAAGTCCTGTTCAGGCAAATCCACAGGCAACAGAAAACCTGGTACAGCGCTAACCCAATACATTCACCTTGAGATATTCAGTTATGCAATTGTTCTGAATGACTCACTCAAGCATTGTTCCAACAACCTTTCTCCTCACCCTCTCCAAAAGTACTAAATTAGTAGAGGAGAGTGAAAGAGAAATCAATTTTCTTTCCCCTACAGAAAACACTTAAGCAAATCCTATGCCATCAATGTCCATGTAATACACCATGTCAGTAACACAGCGCATCACAGCACAACAATATAACAGCAAGATCTTCAAGCTTGTCTCTACTACCAGTAGCTAATCTTGTATTTTAGGAAAATATATCTGTACCAGAAAAAACGATACATTCCCTGTGATTGCCCATAAAGAAGCCACACTACCTCACCTTGAGCCTAARGGTGCATACACACCACTTAGAAGCACTTTTAATAAGTTATTTGAATTTCTCTTTCAGATAGGGTTATATGAAGGAATAGCTGAAGTGGGGAAAGAAACATCAACACTCCTTAAAATTAGCTGTACACTTGGTCCATGTTGCCCACTGWMTTCTGTACTTTGAAAGCTGCAATATTCCAGTTATTTCTGTCATTTATGTCGCAGGGAGCTCTAGCTTGCCTAAGTATTTTCCAAATGCACAGACCTAGTCTTGAATATTCTGAAGCACGGAATTCTGTTGTTTCTTTATAGCTTTTCCATGTGATTTTTTTTTCTGCAGAAGAAACAGGTGAAATGCCTCTTTAACCATCATAAACACATTTTTAATATAAGWACCTAGAGCCTGAAGGCTGGTGGGTTTTTTTGAATGTGACAAACCCCATGATCTTGTACCTAATTCAAGACTACGTGCAAACAATACTGATGCATGCACACACACATCTGTGCTCCATTCGTGGCTCTGTGCCACAAAGCAGGCACTGCCAGGAGCTCCATGGACTCACAGGCAGTCACTTCTCCCTGCCKTACAACAAAAATAGGAGACAGAGGAGGGGCAGGGCAAGTGGGGAAGGGCTGCAGTGAGGTTCTGAGACACAAACAGAAGTCAGACAACTATCTCTCCATGAGAGATAACAAGATTTAAACACCCAAATACCTACTTTTGAAAAAGTGCTTTTGAAAAAAATACTATATATTATTTATTTTTTGGTGTTAATCCAGTAAAAGAAGCAGTACCCTTCTAAAGGTACACTTCAAACACCATCAGGCTGTGGCAACCTGGAGAGAAGAGTGATTCTTCCCTTCATGACTGTGACTATGACTCCTCAATCGTTTCTGATCTATAATTACCAGGATAGTGAGGTTTCTGTTGAAAGACCGTCTTGAAAGAATTGTGGTATAGTTATAGACACGTGAAGAAACCCCAATTAAATTCTATTCAACACAAGAGTCAGAAGAACTCGGATATTGCAGCCTTTTAATTTCAGAATAGTATCTRTAACAGCATCTTATTGAAAAGAAATGAATCCCCATTTTCATACCTGCTTTTCCTTTTTTCAATACAAGGTCTACATTTAAGTTGGAAAGGGAAGTGGAGTCATAATAATGCYTGCTGACCTTTTGCAGGCAAAGCTACATGAAGAGTTTGACAAAGCAAGAYGGAAAGTGATTCATATGAGATATTACTCTGTTTAATGCATGCAGAAAAGATGGCAGAAAAGGTCAGCTATTCACCCTCCTTGCATTCCTAACTATGCCTTGCTTTTCCCATCTAATGATGAATTAGCAATATACAGCTTTTTGGCATCAACTCTGCATGTTCTCCCATGATAACAGTTCAGGATACAGCACAAGATAGCTTTTGCTGTTTCAGGGCCAYAAAATGCAAACTCAAGAATTCTGTTCCAAAAGAAAATTAAGATGTGCAACACAGCAAGGCCTTGGTTTTTTTAAGCCAGCTACACTCCTGATAAACCCCAAGGGAATGCACAAATTGCTTTAGGCATTACAGGAAAGCATGAAGCAAAAGCCAGAGTGCAGTTTTCAGTGCCAGGTGTCTTTACAGGGAGACTCTGTACCTTCTCATGCGTTCCTGCTCACTGGTGTCCAGCGCTTTCAACGTGCGGGCGTACAGGATCACAATGTCSGAGCGCTTGGCCTTCTTATTGCACTGAAATCAAACACAAGCTCAGTTCATCCACAGGAATTTAACTATCCAAACCATGTACCCCTAAAAGTCCCTAGGTATTGTTTTATTTAGATTTGAAGGGAGGGGCTGTCTACTGGAGAACAAAGCCACAAACATTGACACAGCATGTTTGCAAGATGCTTCCYAATACTGACACCAGAGCTCTAACTGGGGCTACAACAACTGTTTAAGTCACATATCCTATTGTATCTTCAGTAACCCATCTCCTTGCTTCCCACTAAAAGTATTCTGCTAATGCACCAACAAGGCAACATAGTCAGGTAAGTTCCAGGGACAAAAAAACCCAAATCAGACAAAGAACAGAAAACAAAAAGATCTAAAACAAAACACCGGTCCCACATCAGGTCTGAAAATACCAAAACTAGCTGCTTGGCCAACAGACTAGGATTTAGGAACCCCGGACTATACTCTTATTTCTGTACTATATTCCTTTAATCAAATTCTRCAGGCCCAAATCCATAAAATGTTCCAGTGTTGTATGAAATGCTGACATCTGACTGACTTCAGTGACACATGGAAAGTCAGATATTTCAGTAATTTTGTGCATCTAGGTGCAACCGTTTAGTACTTCACATTCACCTTACAAAGAAGGCAAGTTAAGAACGTGCARATGCCATAATTTCCTCCAAGTTTATTGTTTTGCAAATATTTGGCCAGAAAAGAAGCAGGGTATACTCAGATCGAGTAACCTCTGCTAAACATTAAATTACTGTGTGCTTCAAATGCAGACTTCTCCATTATTTAGTAGCATGAAAGTAACACAAGCAATAGTCTCAGAGCAGACAACCGCCCTCCATTTGTAAAGAACTGCCTTTCAGAGCAGTAAATRGCTAAGACAGTTTTCCTGGCAGCCAGCAGCAGTCACTGGCAGGATCAGGAATTCTGCAATTTCACAGTAACTTGCACTCAAGCCACTTAGTACACAGACCATGCACAGCAACTCTGGGCTATTCAACCAGAAAACGCCCAGTTGCAAAGGACCTCAACTGAAAATGAAGGGAAGACGATTTAGCTTCAAGGTTCTCTCCACAGCAAATTCTCCCAAGAACTTTTTAGTATTTATATCATTGAAAGAGAAAGAGGGGACAAGCAACCCTTGAGATGTTAGCGTTCAAGAAGAAAGCAGTCACAAAATTCCAAAGAGAAAAGATGCCAGACAGGTCTCTCAGAACTCTGTCTGGGCCTGAAGTGAGGGAAGAAAAGCTCACACAGAACTGACAGGGTAAGGAAAATCAACTTTGGGCCTTTGCTATGRCAACAGATATTCTCTAGGTTTAGTCAAAGCACACATCAAGAGGAAGCTTCTTGTTWAGAGAAGGGAATCCTGCAAAGTCAAGCAAGAATATTGAAGCTCTCAAAATGATGAAGCCAAAGAAACCCTGGGCTTTCAGTCACCAACTCAGAAAATGGCAGAACTGAATCTCATTTACAAGGTACGCATTGACCTATTCATTGTCAACAATCCTTMATGGAAAAAAGGAATAAGGAATGGAAACATCACAGGGAAGTCTAGACCTCATTGAAAGAGATTAGTATTAACCATGGAAAGAAAAACTTCAAAAGCTGATTTAACCACTTCCAAATGGACATTAAAGGATTTAACTTGGTTCTCAGTTTGCTCTCTGCAAGCTTCCCAGACAACCTGGTYTTCTTAAAGGCTGCAAAAGCAGATGCAGCTCAAAACAGAAGATTAATCAACTAAAAACTAGATTACATGATCTCTAGGGTCCTTTCCAACCCTAACCATTCCGTAGTTCCAAAACAGTTCTCAGACAGATTTCTTGTYCAATACCATATTCTTTATGCTTAGTTAATTGCTTCTAGGAATGCGTCTGCTATTTCCATTTGAGTTGGTTCTCTCCAAGACAATGGTGGGGCATTCTGAAACCATTTCCAAGTTTAGCACTTGAACTCTCAAACYTTTGATCTGCTACTCACAAATGCTCTACTTCACGGAGAAGATCCAAGTCATAACCCATCCTTTAAAGTACTGCTAGTTGTTCCTGGCCTAATAACATCAAAATAATTGTGGAGTTTGTTACTTCTGACAGCAGCTTCATGCAGCAAGCAGCTGTAACAGTTACAGTGATGACATCTGAGGCACAAGTCAGGCACCCATATAAGTGCTTTCCAGCGCATACAAACACCCATTTTACCTGAGGGCACTTYCCTGCCTGTCCCTTGAGCCACCTATCAATGCATGTGTAGCCAAAGAGGTGCCCACACCGCAGCGCTGACAGACGGTGGTCCCCAGCATTGGTCCACTGCTCAAAGCAGATTGCACACGTATCTCCTTCCTCCTCATCCAGATGTGCAACAGGGACTGATGGCTCCAGTTTCTTTAGTGGACTTGTCTAGGATTAAAAATTAAAAAAAATAACACAACTGTTTTAGAAATGCAGCATTTATCATATGTAATCTGTCTCCAAAAGCATTTAGTTCACCTTACTTGYTTTTGCTGGACTTCAGCTTCATATTCATGATTTTCATGTTCTGAAGAAGCTTGAGACAAAGCTTGAGGTGGCTCTGCTTGGACCTGACTGGAAACTAAAGAAAGTATTGCTTAAATGAACTGATTCATAATGAGGGGAAAAGGAGTTTTCCTGCTTTGACCTGAAATCATCAGGGCACAGGTTAAATAGTGACACAGCACAGGTTACATACAAAACTTCAGATCAGTGCCCTGGACATAGTCTGTGTGTAAGCTCTTCTATACATCAACAGTAGCGCTGAAGAATTTTATGTTTTCTTTTACAAAAAGTGAAAAGATTTCAGTGAAAAAGGAGAGGTCTTTTAAGGACAGCAATTGTTATCAGAATTTTCTGACCTGCACGAAACCCACAGGCCCAGTCCATAGTTAGACTGATGTAAGTTATATCCCTGCATCATTACGCCTGAGAAAGACAGACACCAATAGACAGAAGCTGCTTTGCCAAKGCATCTAAGCATGCATATTTCATGTGCCAAGAAAGCATTTCCCGTATGCTGGCTGTCCATTCACTCTGACTTCAGCAGTTTTCCATCTGGAAATTGTCTGAACTACCAATTCTGYTGGTATTCTCCCTATGTTTTTGTGGTGGGCCTCTGTCAGCCCATCTGCTGAGGCATGGGCACACAGAACTGCTATGTGGGGATCACCACCACTAGCATAGTAAAAAAGGAGCAGAAATCACTGCCTCCCTTTCACTCCTGATAAAACAAGAGTTATTAATCACATTTAATCATCAAGGCAGATATTCTCCATCCACAGAAATAGCACCCAACTCGGGTTAATGTCAACAAAGTTGTCAGCCTCTGTAGTTCTGGGCTGTAAGAGGAGCCACTGGCTTATGTAAGTAACTAGGGAATTCCAGAAAATCCAACAGAGTGTATATTCACACGATATTATACAGCACTTGACCGTTTGAGCTCCTGTCACATGTAAAACTAGCCCAGAGCAACCAGAATGGATCTGTTCAAAAGACATAGAAGTACTCTTTAAAAAAAGGCAATGAGGTGGACAGACCAATCAAAATCAAACTGAGGGCAGAGAATGAATCATAAGGACATTCCTTAGAGACTGCTAAAAACATAACCTTGTTCTTGTATTCTTTTGGCATCAATAACCTTGACTAGCAAGTTAATTATTTGTCACTCTTACATAAACTGTGCACGTTCATCACAAACAATGTCTCTGAAGTGTGTGTCTGCCTGTGAACAAGACTTTAGATAAAGAATTGTGGGACAGAAAAAGACAAGGAAAGAAAAACAAAAAGCACATCCATCTCCTCAGTTAAGTGTCACAAGTTACAGGAATGAAAACTAAACTGAAGAAGATTGAAATCTCAAATAATTAAAAAAAACTGAATCAGGTCCTGCTCTGGAAGCACTTGCTGATGTCCAAACTGTGATCTGTCTCCACTAACACACCTTGATCATATATAACAGCAGAAGCATGGCAAGTAATAATTTCTAAATTTAAGTAACAAATAATCCTGGAAATGTTCAGAATAAGTAGCAGCCTGCAAACAGCAAAAAGATTGTATTTAACATTATGGTAACATCACCCATTGCTGCTGCTGCTCTTAGGAGCTGCTTGCCAGGAAGCCGTGTGGCAGCAACCTGCTCCTGTCAGCTGTGGCACAAAGATCTCTGAGCACCGTCTGTTTTGAGGCTCAAAAGATTTCCCTGCTGAGTTTTCAAACATCAAGAAAAGTGTCTGAAATCAGTCTCTACACAGCTCAAATACAGCACAAACCTGAGCTTGCTGCTGGAGGTGTCTCCTGGGCTGATGGTAACAGCGGTGCTGCTGCCTCCACTGCTTCCTCCTCCTCCTCCTCCTCCTCAGCAGAAGTGCTGCTGTCAGAGTCACTCACTTCCACTATCTCATCTGGGTGCTGTTCCTGGGTGTCCCTTGCAATACGGGGGGGCTCCAGGTGTGGAACTGGTCCTGCAGCTGGCTCTTGGGTCCTGCTGAGTTGAAAGTAACGGTCCAATGATGCCCTGAGTCCAGAAAAGCAAGAAACGAAAGCCACAGTCATTTCAGATAAACTAAAGACTCAGCATGTTTCTCCAAAAATGTTCACAGGAAAATCCCCAGGCTTTGACTGCAGCAGGAAGGTATCACAGTTATCAAATCCCTACTGTGGTAGGGGAGCAATCCCATAGGATAGCCCACTTTGTGAACAATCAGCAGGATTAGCAACAATTCATTTTGCTCAGTTCAAAGAAAGTCTTCTGATTACAACAATGATATTGTCTTCTTTTGGYGGGGGGGAAGGGGATGGTGGGGTTGGAGACAGGAAAAGCAAAGTAGTATAATTCACTAATAAKCCTAAGAAAACTCCTGATCTGTCTCTCCAACCCTAACTGAGCCCTGGCTCCCAAAGCCACTGGTACTATGAAATGCACAGTGCCTGTATCAGAGCCTTAATCCATTGACTGCTTTGTGCCTGGTCTTTCTACTTTCCCTCTTCTTTTCTRCTGGAACTTCATCCCTATATAGAAACATCCTCCCCTCTTCCCCCATCAGTTCAGCTATCATCTCAATTATCTTCCAGATTCAAAAGAGTTTTTGGGTTGCCTTCCAGCCCTGACAACTACAGTGACCTTCACAGGCAATCTGAGGGCAAACAGTACAGTTGTGTTTAATCAACTGGGAGGAGAGAAGCCCTTGGTCTCACTCAATCTAAAAGCAATGCTTCAGTTAATTATAATTTCACCTTTGGCATGTACAAAAGCTAGAAAGATGAGAAAAAAACAAAATAAACCAGGAACTGGGATTTCTTTCTGGCTGGAGAGCATGACACTCATCCMCCTTTAATCCCATCACAAATAGTATTAAACAGAGAGGATTTTTCATTTTGTCTGAAAGTTTAAAAAAAAARGCAAYAAAAAAACCCTACAGAAAAATATCAGTTTGTATGTTTGTGAAWGTTCCTGCAGCAATTGTCACCAGAAAATATCATCAGGCAGTCCCCAAATCAAAGGTGAAATGCAAATCGGAGCACAAGCTCCACTGAACTAAATGCTGGCTGGAAATGCCRACAGTCAGCACTGCTGCAGGAATTATGGACAGGAATCTGGCTGCGCAGAGGGAACAGGGGGAGCAGAAGCTCCACAAGCAAAATTCGAAGTCTAGAAGGGCTCAGAAGCCAACACCACCCCTGCCAATATRTGAAACAGGGAGATTCACTTAACAAAGGCAAAGAACCTGCCAGAAGAGATCAGAAGTCACTGTGCTATTRTTGAGCTTTAAAGGTTAGCGAGGTACCCTGGATTTGGCCCCAGCCACACACTTGGGTTGGGCTGGGCACTGCAAGCCAGGAAGCAAGGCAGTTTTGAACTGGTGCTAGACTTGATCAGAGGGCAGTTTCATCTCATCAGACCCAGTTTYATCTCTGCTTTACCTGGCACTGATTGTCCGCTGGGAACCACCAATTCTCTGCTGCGTGAGAGCTCTCCTCACTTGAGGACGCTGTGTGAGCTGTGGCACAGGCAGGGGCTGGTATGGATCAAACACCCCTTGTAGCCTCTGCAGCCCCGTGGCAGGGCTTGGTGGTGGATCAGGCTCAGCAGCCACTTCCCTTGTAGCAGCGTTGAGAGTGACAACATCATCATCAGCAGGAAGGGCTGCAGTGCTGCCTCCTCCTTCACCAAGCACAGCAACATGGGATGAGAGCGCTGTGTGACCAGAGGGTTCAGGGGGAAGTGCCTGGAGGTTCTCCACTGGGTAACCAGCTGCTGGCTGGAGRTCAACTTCCATCTCTTCTTGAGCCATTTCTGAAAAGAGTTGAAGAAAATTAGTATTTACTTGCAAGTGTGCACCCTACTTGCAGCCTGATGGTAGCAAGAAGCAGGTGCAACACTCAGTGACTACGAAAGCTTTTAGAATTCAGAGTCAAGAGAAAATTTGTTCTTCTGCAGCAGAGCTAAACCACAAGTCAATACACATATGTGAGCTGGGAGCACCCTCACAGAGTCCTGGGCTCAAAATTTTTGGCTCAACAGCAGCTAGCACCAAAAGCACATTGCAAAACCAACTTAAATAAGCATTTGGATGAGTTTGTAAAGTTAATGTTTTCTTGCTAGCATAATTTACTTGCCAAGTAAATTCATGTGGATTTTGGAGAATGGAGCTTGAGAATATCTGACTCTTCCTGGTGAGCAGCACTGCACAAGCACCAACAGATACAGCCAGAAACAAGCCTTACAACACAGTCCTTTGCTGCACCTGCTCTCAGGAGGTGAGATGACATTCAAGTTTCTTCAAATAAAATTCACTTATCATAACAGATCACTGTGACCCTTACCAAGAGCTCACCAAACAGCCCTTCAGGTATTTACCAACACCAGCCAAATCCRGAAAGAGCATCACAGCAGAACACAACTGAGACATTATTGGTACCAACTTACCTTCAGCATCAGCTCCATATTCAGCCCAAGACTAGATAAACGTGAAATTTGCAGTATATATTGCTATATATATATATATATGCAAATATATTACTAAGGATGGATGCCCTTCTACAACTTTGGAATAAGGATTTCAGGTTATTTCCTGAACAGGGACACTACCTTAGGGTTTGAATAAAAGCAGAGGAGACAACAGTTTGTACATTATTAATTCTTATGCTACTGTCAGCCACCAAATTAAGAACACTTTGGTCATACTGTTCTTACAACACAAAACCTTTATTATTATTAATTTATTATTATAATGAATTTCATCAAGTGAATGAACAGATGCACCATAAACTCACAAAAGTCCTTTAATGGAAGAGGTGTGTAGATTAAATTTGGCAGACTGCTGAAAGTCATTCACATTCTCCAAGAAGTACTTAAGCAATCACAAACCTGAAAGRCCTTGGGAATTGCAGACCTTTAGCATTATTTAGAAGCACCAAAACTTACCCAGCTAGGGCTRTATAAACAGAGCAAAGCCTGGGTGTAGTATAAAAAGTAGCTAGAAAATGTAAAGAAGAATTAATAAAGGAGGATGTAGTAAAGCTCAATTTTTATAGACCTTTTAAGAAATTTTAACTTATAAGTCACTTCATCATTCTTATCCTAATTACTAATTTAGCCTAACCTAGGCCAAAAATGCCACCTCCCACCAGAACTGCTGCATGGCCAAGACATGATAATATTCAACAATCAAGTACTGCTTCTCTAGCACTCTGCTCATGTTTGTAATAGAACTATTATCTATAAATATAATAAACCCTTTATTTTCAGCATACAGAGAATCACGATGTTAAAGAGCTATAAGAGATTGGTTAAAGACAGTCCCAAACCCCCTCTGCCATGGGGACGGACATCTCCCACTAGACCAGGTGGCTCAAGKCCTTATCCAACCTGGCCTTGAGCACTTCCAGGATTGGGACATCCKTAACCTCCCTGGGCAACCTGTTCCAGTGCGTACATTAACTGTGAGATTTATAAAAACATTAATACTGCCATTTTCACCGTTACATGTTGGAACCCGGCCCAAAGGACCAGCGCTTCCTCCACCCAGCCAGCTACCCGGGAAGAGACCGCAGATGGAGGGTCTCCACAAAAGGGCTTCCTGGGCCCAAATGAGAAATTGCGAGTGCTTCCAGAGGACAGAGCTTGGCTGGCAGCCTCAGGGCTCGCACCCAAGGGCTGAAGGCTGAAGCAGCAGCTTCCCCTTGCGGAGGGCACCCAGGCCTTGCTGCGCACCGCCCGCCCAGGGTTCTACCGTGCCTGCTTTAACCAAATTTAACAAAAAAACAACCGAACACGACCCAAACGAAACACGCTTCACAAGCGTGGGTTCTCTGGTGGCTTTTTCACAAGGCTCGCATATTATAACCACGAACCCGCAAAAAGGGCACGGGAGTGGGATAGTCTTCCCCCCGGCAGCCGCAGGCAGCCCAAGTGCTCGGAGGGAAGGAGCCGTGCTGGGGAACTCGGCCCGGAGCCGCGGGAATTGGTTGTGCCGGGATCCCGGCCAGGGGAACCCACCCCGACCCTGCGAACCCCGCTCACCTCAGCCGGGCCCAGCCGCCCGCTCGAGCGCCGCGCCGCCCCGCCCCCAACGCCCTATTGGCTGGCCGCAACCCCCGCGCCCGCTACCATTGGGCGAGCTGGAGACGCTCCCGCCTTTTCATTGGTCACTTGCTCTGTCCATCTGTACCACGAAGCCGGCGGAGACCGGGGCGAGAGGCGGGGAGGTTGGGCCGACTCTGATTGGTCAAAGAGCCGCAAGGAGGGGCGGCTGATTGGGCAACGGGAGCCCTGACTGCACAGGGGCGGGGCACAGGGGTGGAGCGAGTTTTCATTGGCGGAGCCGCCGCGGGGCGAAAAGAGCGGGAACTTAAATTCGTTCAAAGCGGAGGGGGGGGGTGGGTGTGGCGTTGCCATGGCGACGGGACAGCCGCTCTGGGGTGGGCCCGGGGTGGGCCCGGGGAAACGGGGAAACGGGGAAACTGCGGAACTCCGCGAGGAACCTAGCAGAACCGGGGGAAGCTGGGGGAGCCCCGGGAAAACCAAGGGAAACCCCCAGGGGAGCTGAGGGGAATCAGCGGGGAACCGGAAAGGATTTGGGGGGGGGAACCGGGGGGGAGTCCAAGGCGAGCCGGAGGGGCTCCAGGGGAGCCGGGCCCCAGCGCCCCAAGGGCAAGGGAGGGRCTGAGGAGAATCACAGAATGCGTCAGGTTGGAAGGGGCCACAGTGGGTCAACTGGTCCCCACTCCCTGCTCAAGCAGGATTGTCCTAGAGCACTGTCACAGGATTACATCCAGATACTTCTGGAATATCTCCAGTGAGGGAGACTCCACGTCCTCTCTGGGTAATGTCCCAATGCACGATGACGTGCACAGTAAAGTTTTTCCTCATACTAAAGTGGAATTTCCTGTGTATATTTTCTGCCGTTTCCTCTTGTCCTTATTGCCGGGCAGAGCTCCATCCATCCTTAGTCCATCTCTTCAAATGCTGATGGGGTCCCCGCTCAGTCGTCTCTTCTCAAGGCCGAACAGGTTCAACACCCTCAGCCTTTCCTCACGAAAGAAGCTGTGTTCCATCCCTCTGATCCTCCCAAGGTTTCCTGCCGGCCTCCCCTCAAGTCCCATCACCCCCAGCTGCCTCCAAGGCGATTCCAGGCACAGCCCCTTGGCGAGGGGAAGTTGTCAAAAACAAAAACAAACACACATGTATTGAACCATCAGTCTCTGTGAGGGTAAATGGGGCAAGTGGCACACTGGGCTTGCTGCTCCTGGTCACCCAGCCCCGTTTTCCACTGTTAACTTCCTTGGTTTCTGCTTTTCTCCAGGTCAGCCAGCGAGTCCACAATCTCTGCAAAACCCAAGGATGGCATTAATCARCACAGAGTATTTGTTGTAGGACTGTTTGGGTTTTTTAAACAGAGGAGAAGATGGCTTTCCTTTGCTAATAACAACCAGGACACAGAGTCACACTCCTCAGGCCAGGGTGAACGGGCAAAGATTAGCAGGGGACAGGCCTGAACAGACAGCACAGCCCAAAGAACCCAAACAGAAGTAGCCGTGTTTACAGAAAAACCCTTGAGGAACAGCTGCAATAAGCTGTCCTTCCAGCTTAGCACCATGCAGTGGTAAGTGTTGGATTAAGGTCATATTAAAGCAATAAAGCCATGCTATTTCCTCAGTGTGACGTTGCCAATGTCTCTGATGAAATTTTGGCATTTTGACTTCAGCCGGGGCAATTCCCTGTGCCAGTCTGCTGAGGGGGGTGCTGGTAAGAACAGAAACATCACACACAATGGTTTCTTGTGCACATTTCCCACATCACTTTTATGGATCTAGTCCCATGGGATGGAGTAGATGAGACTGAAGGAAGTTTTCTCCCCTTAAACAGAGGAACTAAAGGGAGGATATGATCTCTGTGACCTCAGACACACCAAAAGGTTCCTCTATCTTTTCCTGATGTTTCTGTCCTCATCTGACCAGACCCAAATTAGCTTCAGAGACAGTGAAAACTACCCTGTCACATAGTGATGCCCATGACTGCAATTTACTGCTCAAAGCCCAAGGCAAGAAATGCTCCTGCAGAGTGTTGTGGCTGCTCCTCCAGCTTATGGGATCTGCAGGACCTGAGTGAGGCTTAACCCACAGACCCCTACTTCCAGTTCAGTGCTTGTCTGAGACAAAAAAGCTATTTTTATGTGATGTCAAACAAATAAACAGTCTGGTGATTACTGTCATGGCATGGGTAAATAAATATTAATGCATTTTAAAATGCAATAAAAGGAAAGTAAGGCAGGATCCCAAAACATAAAACTGGGTGAATTCATTTGGGAAATAAGAGGCAAACTGACTGCTGAAATAGCTGGTTGAAAGGCCTGTGGAGCAGATGTCCAGGACACTTACCCTCGGCAGAAGGGCGTTGGGAAGGGTCAAAGGCCCGGCACTGTTCAATGACTTTCCTCAGGTCTTCAGGACAATCTTCTTCAAGAGGGTCCCAGTAATGGTGGTTGCAGATTTTCTCCACAATCTCCTCAGGAGTGCAGCCTAGAAGCCATGCACAAACAGTAGTGTCAGGATGGAGCTCCTCTGCCACAGGAGGGTGCTGGGGAGGAAATCCAGCACACAGCCATGCCAAGAGTCTGTCTGCAGCCTATGGCAGGGAGAAGCCAGCAGGGAAGAGACCCAAACCCCATCTGCAATGAATCCCACCATGTTTGGCATGACACTGTCAGGSTCCAGTAGAGCAAGAAGATGTTTTTATGCTTAAATGCACAGGAACATCCAATAGAAACGAAAATTATTTGCATGTTTGCGGTTTAAGCTTGTTGCTTTGCTGTAAGCTGTCCTTTACTATATTGGAGTTCCAGGAGAAGTGATGAAGCTGTCATGCAGAGCCAGGCACACCAGGCACTGCACTGGGACCTGTGTGGGATGATCAGGGAAGGAGCAGGGAGCATCCAAYGCCAGACAGGAACCACACTGCCGTGTGGCTTTTACWCAGGGAACCAGATACTCCTGTCTCACCTTCAAATGGGACTTTGGAGGTTGCAATCTCTGCCAGAACGATCCCGAAGCTGCAAGGAGACAAGCAAGAGTCTCAGCATTCATTCCACCGTGTATTCCTCACTTCTAACGGAGAGGACTGCTGGGCTGTGCCAACTGGAAACACTTGCTTATGTGTTCAATCAAACCTGGCCTCCTTCCACAGCTCAGCAKCTGCTCTGCCAGACACCTGCCTGCTCACACACATCTCTCCTGGGAGGGACAGACACACCTGTATATTTCACAGGCCCTCTTGTAAGGGTAGTTGATGTCTTTCAGGATCTCTGGAGCGATGTAAGCCAACATAGAGACTTGCTTCCAGGTCTTCTTGGCTTTCCTCTTGATKGATGATTCTGTTTCACACAGCTCAAATCCTGACAGCTGATTGGGAGAATGAGAGAGAGAAAAAGAGAATTAGAAACCTGTGGTGCAGCTGGGTACTGCCCTGAGATGGGGAAAACAGAGCAAGATGCTCTGGGCAGTAAAGGCTGGTGTGCAKCTCTGTGTGTTGCTCAGAACAAGTCTCTTCCTGCAAGCAATACCAGAGGTGAAGGCATGTGAACTGCTCCAGCTTCAGCTCATCCCAGGGTAGATGCTTTGGGAACACTCCCTTTTGAATGATAAGACCAAGATAGGGAGGTTTAAGTGCCTAAGGTGACTGGGGAGATGGCACTAACCCATTTTATCCTGAACCATCACAATTCCCTTCAGTGTTGGTGGAGGGAGACATCCACAAAACCATTCAAAACTGCCAAAAGCATAGTCTCCAAACGTGGTGCTTACCTTCACACAGTAATCCCCAGCCACCAGGAACTTGCTACTGCAGATGCAGCCATGGAGTCGGGACTTCTCCCCGGTCTGGTGCAACCTGCAGATGGACGGMACCAATGGCAAGACATCATGATGATGGACCCATTCCCTTCTCAGCGCTCCCTCCTGCCATGGAGGGAATGACTGACATGCATCCAGAGAAGCCAGCAGCTCTCTGCCTGTCTTGGTGGATCATCCCTGCCAGGCCAACCTTTCCAGCAGGTGCTGGAAGAGCCACTGTGGGCAAAACAACAAGCCTTGTGGATGACCAGGACCTGTAAGGAGAGCTGGGCATGCTCTTGGGTGCTTCCAAATCTGCCCAGTGGATCTGGGGAAGGAGATTTCTGCCTTCCAGGCCTTTGCAGGCTTGAAGCCAGATGTACCAGGGTAGACGGGTGCTACTGCATCYAAATCCACTACCTACTTCTTCACCACCCTCCCATCCCAGCGTCCCAAACTGGTGTTACTGGGAAACAGTGTCTAACAGGATACCACTGCTTACTCTGAGATACCAGGAAGCTGCTCACAGCTTCTGGATCATCGGGTGGGCTTACTCACTGATTCCTAGAGGAGCTCACCTGTAGAGGCCTCTGGCAGCTCCCAGGGCCATCCGAATGCGGATGTCCCAGGAGAGATGCCGTTGCTTGTTCAGCACATCCCGCAGTGTCCCATGCTTGCAGTACTCCATGACAATGGAGAAGCAGGGGCTCCCGTCTGCAAGGCAAAAGCATCCTGCCTTGTGCCACCTCTTGGGAGRGGACAACAAACCATCTGCCACCAGCTAGTGCTGGGGACAGGCAAGGGAGGAAAAGGGTGACATTATTGTGACACCCCTACCRTTCTCCTCAATGCAGATCCCGTACATGCGCAGGATGTTTGGAGATTCAAACTTCTTCAAGGTCTGAATCTCCTTCTCAAAGATGTCTCTCACCTTGCTGTGGAAAAGGACAGCATGGTGAGATATCTGGAACAAGGCTTGACATGGTGCTGTGCCACACTTCTGGGGGGCACACTTGCTCCCACCCAGGACAACTCACACTATATCTGTGGTCAGTGGCCTCTTGAAGGTTTTGATGGCAACAGGATACTTGAGGTACTCGCCCTCATAAAGGTCATAGCTCTCRGTGTCCTGCAGGTGCCTGTGGAAAGTGAGGTGGTCCCGCTTGATCTCAGTGATGTCTTCTCTTTTACCAACGTTGACCTTCTTCAAGCCTGCTCCAGCCATGTGSCAGAAGGGAGCAAGGGACACGTTAGGCAGGGCCTGGGGGGAAAGGACACTGCACAGGGGGCAGGTGGTGTGACACTGACTTACGCTCCATCTCACGAATGACTTTGCTCAGCTCACTTTGCATCCAGTCTACCTTGCTCTCCATACACTGCCTGTCGATGTAGATCTCCCCAGCCACATCTTCRGGCTCCTCGGTACCTGGGGAGAGAAACAAGCAAAGGTTGGGTCACTGGATGAACAAGCAGGACTGTGTGGTTTGTTTTTCTCACAGTTTAAATGTCCCTTTGGCTCTCCGTGACCAGCCAGAGCTGGGCAGCAGCTGGAGCAGCTGGAGGGAAGGGCCAAACCACCAGTCTCAGGGATAGAGGGTTCGTTAAATGCACTTACTTGCAATCACCTGCTCCAAGAAAGCTCTGTCATCCCTCAGGTCCTCAGCATCCTGCCTGCGACATATCTTTGTCTGGAAAGCTTCCAGGAAAGCCTGCTTCTGCTCTGCCTGCAGCAGGAGYGAGAGCCCCTGGGCAATGTCCTCCAGGCTTTCATTCACCCAGACAAATTCCTCACCAGCATTTCGGGCTCGCAGGAACTTCTGGATCCAGCTGGCCTGGCTGTATTTCATCACCAGTTTCTGGGCTTCCCCCAGTGTCTGGAGCAGTTTTTTCAGCAGTTCCTCTTCGTGCTGGGAGATGTGCTGTTTTGGCTGAGCCCTGAGGATCCTGACAGGCTCCAGCAGGATCTGGATGCGTTCCACGAGGCGTTGGCACTGGTGCTTACAGCACTTCACCTGCTCAAACTGGGCGTGAATGGCCTGGGCCACGGAGAAGACCCTCTCCACGATGTCCATGCTTGCAGCAAAGGGCTTGGCCACTGGGGATGTGGGCTGGCAGTGTCTGCTGCTGTTTGGAGACCAGCTGGATACAGCTCTTCCACGCCTTCCACCCTGAGGAACAGCCCTGACATGGCACACCGTCCTCCCATAGCCCCTCACAGCTCCAGCTGCTTTGCTTTCTCTGTTTTGCCCGGCACTGCAGCTGCTCRAGCAGCCTGGAGCAGGCACACACAGAGAGACATTGGTAGCACATCTTTCTCTGCATTAGCAAGAGTTGTTTTGGCTTGATTTATGTACATTATCTCAGCATGAGCCATCCCAGAGAGCTCCCACCCAGAGAAGCAGGGACATCAGTGACACAAGGAGCATCCCTGGGCAGCATTCCTGACTCTGGCCCCACATCACGGTGGGGTCCTGCCCGCAGAGCCCGCATCCTTGACTGTAAAAATCTATTTTGATTTCKACCCAATGTCTCTCTCTGTGGTCACTCATCTAATAAAGACTTTCATCTTCACAGCCCCAACAATCCCAGGCTCTCCATATTATCTCTCCGTAGCTCTGTTCTAGTCACTTCAGATTTTAAATTAAGCTCTTTCTATGAGTTCAGCATCCCCATTGGGATAGTCCCCTGCCCCCCAGCCTACATCCAGGTAGTGGGGACAGAAAACCACCCCTGTTGCAGGGAAATTAGCAGCAGCCACCCACACTATGGATGCAGCCAGAGCTAAGAGAAGGGTACCGTGCTCTACAGGCTGAAAATAAGATTGAAACACAACCAGAAATCAGCAGCAGCCACTCTCCARTCCCCTTCAGGCTCTCTCCAGCACGGTCCCTGAGGAAGAATCTTGTCCACTTACCAAGAGTAACCGGCTGTTACCTGCTCCTGCTTCACTGACCTCAGCTGCTTCTGCAAACTGGAGTGGCATGGCAGGATGAGCACGGCTTTAAAAGGGCGTCACAGCGGAAGGGACATTGTGCAACCCCCTGCAACTTCCCACGATGCGACGACTCCTGGTTCCAGTAAAGTCATTTGGGGTATCCCCAAGGCCTGTATGCCCTCGTGCTGGGTTTTATCTGGTGGAAGAAGGAATTGCCCACAGGAAGTGCAGTGGGAAGAAGGGGATGGGGAGGTTGTGACCCCATGTATTGATACTTCTGCTATTTTGAGCTCCACAACCGTTCTGCCCTGCTGTCAGCTGRGGGAAGGTTTTCCCAGGGCACTGTAACACCCACAGCAAGGGCTCTGTGTCCTGCTGAACTTCCTGCACCAGCAGCAAGACCCTCTGGAGCACATCCCTGCTCTTCTCCCATCTCTGAGCCCCAGGAATCCCAGCACCAAAGGAGCAGGCTGCGGGCACCTGTGCTGGAAACAGCGCTTGACCTCTGCTGGGAGCACAGGATATTTTGCAGGCGGCTTCGTCAGCAGGCCAGGCTGATTTTGGGAAGCTCCGTGGAGCATGTGATGCTATTGCCCAAATTCAGAGAAGTGAGTGGCAGCTTCTGCTTGCCCAGAGYCCCAGCGTCACACAGGTTTGCTGATGTCCCCTGCAAAGTTCCTCCCTCACTGTGCTTGGTGAGRGGAGCCAGGGATGGTGGCTCTGAGGGCCATCAGCACCTGGAAAGGGACACACCAAGAGTGGGAGAACATGYGAGCAGGCTCAGGGGATACATTTGCCAGACCCTTTTTAGAAAGTTTTATTTTTCAAAATATACAGTTTATTTACAATTGTAGTGTTTACAGTTTTACATATAAATTTATTCCAAACCTTTAAATATCTGCAGTAAACATTAGGGAAAAAATAATAAAAAATAAAATCACTGGATCAGCAAAAAAAAGGCATCTCATAGTAATTCTTTTCATTGGAGTTTGAGTTTCAAGTAGCCAATGTCTATGAAAACTGTGAACTTGATAAATCTGGCAGAGAGATGTGGGTGCACTGGTTAGAAAAGGCACAATCCAGACCTGCAGGACCCACCCTAAAAGGGCTGCAGGCCATTAGAAAACCCAGTGCTGAGATCGGGCCTGGGAATCCCCTTGGCACGAGTTAGGCAATAGGGTTAACTGCAGCATGTTGGATGTCCTGGGAAACAGAACCCCAGGAGAGACAGGGCAAGACAGGAAAGGTCCCAGAGCGGAGGAGGGAGGGTGGCATCAGGCACTTCATCTTTCAGGCAGCAGATCTGCCCGTGCATCCGTAGCCTGGAGAGGACAGGAGTCCCCCAGGGAAAGCCACAGCCTCCTCCTCCCCTTTCCTCCCATCCTCAGCCCCCCATCCCCTTGCCAGCGCCACAGTTGGACCACAGCACTCCAGAGGGATGCTCCAGTTTGGAGTCACTGCTGTGGCACAGCCCCCAGGAATGGGGCAGGGACCAGCTGGCCTTGCTGGGGACGGAGGGGACGGAGCCAGCAGCTGAGCACTGGGCTGGGGCTGTCAGTCCTCTTTCTTGAAGGTCTCCTCGGGGATGAGTGTCCGGAAAGGATAATCCCAGAAGCGTGTGCTGATGCCAAAGCCTGTGGGCAGAGAAGGGAGTGTTCAGCCCTTCTGAGTGTTCAGCCCATGGCACCACGATCCCCGGGTATTGCAAGGGCTCTGTGTTAAGTGGTGAGGGAGGAGTGTCCACATTTTGGGAAGGGAGGAAGGTAAAGTGAGGGCAAGGAGGAAGAGCAGAAGGAGCAGAAGCTGGCTGGGACATGCCAACAAGCCCCATGGATGATAGCTTATCTGGATGGGGCGTTTTCTCCTAGGAAACCGGGCAAAGGGCAGGTTGAGCAAGCACTGGGCTAGGGAAGGTGTGGGGCGGATCTGGGGAAGCCCAGGGCCTCACTCTCCACCTGTCAACRCCTCCCAACTGAAAGAGATGCTGCCCTGGGCAGGGACAGGCACCCACATCCCAGCACCATATGGGTTTGGCCTCCACCCTGCCATCCCCCAGCAGCCCTGATGCCCACCAGTGAGACAGGCTGCTGCCTTCACCCTGCACTGCTCTGGCTCCCCATCCTCAACCTGGGAATCGGGAAATGTTACCCATGGGCTACAGCACCTCACATGCTGCTTCCCCAGCAGTACAGCGCTTGGCTTTCCCCRTCCCAAACCCCAAATATTTTGGAGCCATCAGCTGCACACACATGCAGGTAGGCTGGACTTTGACAGCCCTTACCCCCACCAGCATGCATGGGGAACATGGTGCTACCTGATCTTTGGTGTTCAAAGTGGTGCTTGACGTGATAAACCTTCAGGCCATAGAGATAGGAGCCTTTTTTGGGCGAGCCGTAGTGGAGGTAATAATGCATCATGTCGTAGATGACGTAGCCGCAGAGCCCCCCGACGAACACCGCGAGCCCCAGGATCTCGGGCAGCATGAGCCGCAGGACACCGTAGAAGAAGCCCATCACCAGCGAGGCTGGCACAGGAGGGAACACCAGGCGAGAGCTGTCGAAGGGAGACTGGAAGCAGAGAGAGACGGTGGRACAGGCAGCTCACCCTACCTCTCCCAGCATATCCCTGATGAGCATTGGGGAAGCCCATTTGGGAGAAGCCAGCACCTAAAACCCTCCCCAAAGTGGTACTCGGTGGCAGGAGCAGCCTGCCATGCACGCCAGGGYGGCCAGGCAGGCGGTGGCTTTAGCTGGCAGGTGCCCAAAATCCACAGGGCCATTTCCTCCAGCGAAGCTAGAGGGAGCCCATGGCTCTTTCGGTCTTCCCCCTTGCCCAACCACAGTTTGCAGATTTAACTCCAGCTCCTCCGAGCCTTGCAGCCCTGSCTGGTGTTGGGTAAGTGCCTCCCTTGGGATGGCACCAGTCACACCGAGCAGGCACAAASGGGCTCTGCCTGGGCAAAGGCCACGCAGTAACAGGCTCCAGTGGGACAAAGGCCACCATTCCCACGGCATGGCAGGCGCCAGCGGAGGCGGCAGCTGCAACTCACCTTGTGATGCTGCCCATGCAGCAAGAAATGCAGCGTGATGAGATAGTAGTTACTGGCGGGCGGCTTCATGTGGAAGACGAAGCGATGGATGAGGTACTCGAGCAGGGACCACAGGATCATCCCCACGAGGAAGATGAAGGGGAAGTAGTATTTGTGGACGGGGATGGAGTACTCTACACAAGGAGACGTGCAGCAGTCAGCAGGGCGGGTGATGTGTGGGTGCTTTTATCCATCACCATCCTCCCACTGGCATCAGGGTGATGCTCAGCTCTCCCTCCCTCCCACCTCTCATCTTCCTCCTGCCCAGAGCTTCTTCAGGGAGCTACCTGCCCAAGCACTACTCCAAACCACATTTTCCTTTGATTCCCATTGATTTACAGAAACAATCAGCTTCTTGCTGCCGCAGGAAGCCAGTGAGAGGGGTTCCCCACATTCCAGATTCCAACAGGGGCTCAGAGGTGCCTTTCAGGGACTGCATCGTCCTTGCAAAGCTGCTTCACCCACCAGAACAAGGCAGGAGGGACTAAATTGCATAGGCAGCACTCGTGACAGTAAAACAGTCCTATTGGTGTTGGTGTTTCTTTTTTTTGGGGCATAAGAATAGATTTGTTGGGCATTTTCCCCCGCAGAACATTTTTCAGCCACCCCCCTCTTTCAGGGCTGGCTGCCAGCCCTGTGTCCTTTCTAGCAAAATTTGGATTCCCCCAAAACCTGCTTAGTTTTAGGAAAAAAAACCACAAAACTTGGCAGCAAGGTGCCAAAGGCCACAAGGAGCAGGGGGTGCCCATGCAGCAGGCGCTCCCCACCCCACAGCCGGGCACAGCTGGCACTGGGTGGCACCTTGCAAAAAAAATAGGGAGCCCAGAAAAAAAAAAAAAAAAAAGGACAACAAAGAAGACAGGCTGCCCCGGCCACGCCTGTTGTTCCCGGGGGAGCAGGGAGCAGACAGTGGGAGATTCAAGGGCAGGCGCTTCGGGCGAACAAGCCCCGCACTGTGTGGCTCCGGCGGCGCTGAGAGCCGGGTTTGTTCCCCGCCACGCCGGCATCCAGCCGCGGCCCGGGGTGGGCGTCAGCAGCGGGTGGGAGGCACCCAGCACCGGCAGAGCTCGATTTTGGGGATGGAGGGAAGGGARGCAGGAGGGAGCAGGCTGCAGCCCAGGCCAGAGGGCTCTGTGACTCTATTGATCCTCTGGGGGGAAAAAATCTTGTGTTGAGAGGAGGGGATGGAGGTGGGCAAGCACTGGTGGTTCCATGCAGGTCAGACTGGTGGCAGGGAGAGGGGCTGACCTGCTGCACTGGCATGTGGCTTGTGGTGGGCACGGACAGAGGGAGGGTGAGGAARGGATGCAGAGGTTTCCCCCCCAGCCAGGGTGGGGTCAGTAAGGGAAGCCCAAGGGCTTTGCTGCAGCTSGTACCTGTAGTGAAGGAGGAGAAGAGCCTGGTCTTGCCCTGAGCRAGGGAGGTGTAGCTGACCCAGCTGAGATAGAGCACCACGGGCGTCCACACCATGAACACCACGTACCTATAGGGTACAAGGAGATGTCAGAGGGAGTGTCCTGCTGCCTGGTGAGCCATTCCCCCCTCCCTGGGGAGGCACCATCCAGGGCACAGTGCACAGTGCACACCCCAGAGCTCACCATGCTGTTTTGGAGAGGAACTCAAGGAAATCCGAGTGGAAGAGGCGGATGGGCCGATCCACAGGCTGGTGCACCCACTCGTCGTACTTCTCCCCTAAGTGGCCCACCTGCCACAGCAAGGGCTTCTGCCAGTCTACCAGGTCCTGAGGGAGCAGACAGTGGTTGTAGTGCTGTGGAGCCCACAAACCATCCCAATACCAGGCACAAAGCTGAGCTGCTGCTGCAGGATTTTGGGCTGYAATCCCCTTCCCATGCCCCAAGAGCAGTTCCAAGGTGCCCTGAGCTCCCCACAAGCACAGAGCAGACGAGGGGTCAGACATGCATCAGCCCCATCTAACCTGTAAACACCCTGAGTCACTGAGTACCTGCCAGGCRATCAAGGTGAAGGTGGCTGGCTCAGGGTCAGGCCTGGCTCAGCATGAGGCCCTGATAACTGAGGCTCTTTGCCTCTCGAGCTGCCAAGATTAGATAGTGAGCAGTGATATGCCAGCAGAGCACTTCTGGCAGCACGTGGATCCCATCCCCACGGCTTTGCCCCAGCCAAGGACCTTTCTCCTTGTGCAAAGGACACGTGGGGCAGCCACAGCTGTTTGGGCACCCCAGTGGGGAGCGAATGGGAAGGGATGGGGAGCAGGGATACAGGATGGGACTCCAGCACTGCTKCTGTGCACGGCTGAGCTCTTGCCAGAGCAAGAAGGGACCCGTGCAGGCACGCACTGTTGGCATGGCGTGGAAATAGGGAGGCACAACTGGCAGCATCACCTCTGGCACTGCTCAGCTGGCCTGGCTGGGTACAGTGGGCTCTTGGTGCCACCCCTGTGCCAGGACTGGAACCATGCTCACCCAGCCCAGCCCCGGGCCTGGCTGCTCTCCTGGGGCTGAGGGGCCACACTGCACTGGCACAGCAATCTGGCACCCAGGGTTGTGCTGTCAGTGGTGGGGATGGCTCAGTTCAGGGCATCTCAGGGCAAGGAGCGGGGCTGCTCTGGGCATTTTGGGGGCTCTGCTGCAGGCAGGGATGGACACAATCCCACAGGAGGGGAAACAACCCCAGCTGGTGTATGGGATGGGAATGGAGCCTTTCTCCATGGGGGTGGTAGTGGAAAAGTTAAAGCAAAAAAGTCRCTTTAAAATGGCACATTCTCTTTTAAAGGTGCTCAGTGATAAAATACTAATTTGGGGGTGAAAGATGTTCTCCTGCTTAAAAAAAAACAAAAACAAACACCTTTCTGCAAGATAAAAGCACACTCACCAACCAGCTGGGACCATGCAAGGTGTGGTGACCAGATGGTGCTACAGAGGGCAGGGACAGCCAAAGACATCATGGGGATAAATCCCCACGACTGTGACATGCTTGGAAAGGAGCAGGCAGAGCAGGAAGCACCCTGCATCACAGAGATCACCCTGCCCAGGCTGGGGAATCCCTTACTGCTCAACACAATGCACAGGCAAGAGAAAAAAAAATAAATAAAGCAATAAAAATAAATAAAACAAGACAGAAATAAAAGCAAGCAAGGTGCGGCTTGGCAACATTTCCCTGCGSAAGGGCACAGCTGCTGTCAGAGAAAGACATCCCTCTCATACTGCTGCAATGGGAGACTCCCAGCCTGGCCACGCCTGTGCAATAAAGTGTGAGCAATGCCATGCGCACCGGGAGAAAGGGCAGAAACGGCTGGATCAGTTTGGCTCCCTCCCTTTGGCCATCCYTCCCACCCAAGAGGTCAGCAGAAATCCACCACTCATGCAGGGAAGAGGAGACCCGGTGTTTCCCAAGAGCTCTCTGGCAAACAGTGTGCTGGAGAAACTCCAGGGCTCTTACCTTCTCCACAGCCACTGTTTTGTAGCAGATTTCTGTCTGCTCTGGAGTTTGGGCTGCAGCAACCACCTCCTTCTCATCCACTGTCTCAGASAGGCTCTGAAAAGAGGAGGAAAACCCTGTGGTGAAGCATCAGTGGTGGATTCAGTTGGGGACAGTGATGGCTGTAGCACTGAGGGGTATGGCCAGAGTGAGCTCGAGCCTGCTAAATAAAGATGGGGAAAATTCTTGAGAATTTAAGTCAGTCAGTTCCCACAGAGCAGATTCCTGAGGAAAGCAGCTGCCAGTGAGCTGTGCTGCCCTTCAGACCATGCACCGAGCATGGCGGGCTCGGGGCTCTTTGGGAACCTCCTGCTGAGCCCAGCACGGCACTGCTGCTTCAGGGTGGCAATGCAGAAACTCTGGGCCCATGGCCAGCACTTCCCCCTGCAAACRGGCAGTGCCATAGCAGAGGTCACCTTGCTGCTGCCAGCAAAGCGAGGGGCATCGCTGGGTTAGGGCTCCCTCCTCCCACCCTGCTGATCTCCAACAAAAGCCCAGCTTGGCTCTTTGGTCCCTCAGAAAGCCGGGCTGACAGACCTGGGGAGTGTGGCAGACCTGGGGAGTGTGACACGGCTGGTGCCACCACCCTGGCTTTGGGCATGTGGAAAAACACAGCAGGGGGGGCCTTGTCCCTGGGGAAATGACAAGGTGCCCTTCACAGGGGGACACTGGGCTGGGAACCTTTGCCGTGGGCTGTGGAGTATGGGGAGTATGGAATATGGGGATTTGGTTGTGGCTCAAGAGAGCACCTTAAGGCACAGGGGACATGCTGGTGCAGTGGTGGCACTGGTGAAGACCCAGCTGTGGTCCCACCGGCAAGGCAGGCTGAGAAACAGGAGGAACCTGCCTTGTCTGATGCTTGGGAGCAAACACATTGCCGGCTGCCAGCCCTGGCCTCCTTCCCCTGGCTGTGCCAGCCCCGGCGCCGGCCGTGCTGCTGGAGGGGGGCTTGGAGAGCTTGCGGCGTGCCCGTGCAAACCCCGAGCCAGCCGTGCCCCCCCGGCAGCAGGGCCAGCTCCCCGCGCAGGACGTGCCAAACATGCCTTTTCTCCCGCTTTGTCACCTCGGGTTACCCATTAACCCGGAGCAGGGCACGGCATGGCCCGGCAGTCGCAGCTCAGCCGTGCCCACCGGGATTCCAGCTGTGCCGCTTCCAGACAGGAACGGTTTTCTCTCAACTCCTCCATGGATGCTGTCCCACTGCTCCGAGAGGGATGCAGCGCCATCCTACTGCTGGGAGCACTGCCCTGGCAGCTGCAGGAGGCCCTGGCATGCAGGAGAACCGGTGTCACCTTGGCAGGACTTTACTCTGTGCCGCGTTGGTGACACTGAGGCAGGGCTCGGGCACTGTTTGCTGACAGCAGGCACTCCTTGCGAGCTGTGCTCCCACCCTGTTTCCYGGGCTAGCCGGATTTCAAGCCTCATTCTGCTGGTACAGGAACTGCACAACCCAGCTCTGAGGCAGCCCCTTGCCTGGGGCAGCAGGCAGGGAAGGACAGGGATATTTCCAGCCAGCATTTCCAGGYTGGAATCCCACTGGCATCAATTTTACTGCAGGCAGAGCACCGATAYGAGCTGATGCCGTGGACCACCACACCTCCCTCTGTGAGGACTGCACTGCTATTTTCCATATTGCACACTGTCCTTCAGCCAGACATTTCAAAACCCTGCTGTAGGTGGGATGCCTTAAAATCCAGCAAACATGGTGAAATTATGGTTTAACCTCTGCTCTGCAGGTGCTTTGGAAGAAAATCTGGCTTTAAAAGAGTGAAACGGCTTATCCTGAGAAATGGGCTGGTGGCTCTCCATGCTTGCACCACAACCTAGCCAGCAGCAGGAAGGATGCTTAAGAAAGATGTGCTGATGCAATGCCTGACACCTCTCCTCCCTTTTCCGAAATGTTCACACACCTCCAGTTCCCCTGCCCATGGATGCCTGAGTGCCGTGTCATGCCTGGAGGCTTCCCAGTCCTCCCAGGTCARGGAGATGGATTGGGGGGCTCACATTCCACCTCACCACTAACACCAGGGCTGGGTGACATCAGTGAGGTGCCATCACCCTGTGTGCTGCAGCAGCTCCCTCTCAGCATCTGAGTCATCTCCTCCTCCTTTTCCTCAGCTGGGAGCAGGAGGAAGGCTCTCCTCTTGCTCACCTTGGGGCAATGAAAGGATTGRGAGCTGTGGTGCAACCAGGATGCAAACCACCCTGGCATGTCYTGACTGGCTCCCCAGAGGGTGGGTGCTCCAGCCTGCCCCAAGCTCGCAGGGGCCCTGCTGGGATCAGCCCCATGGGCCCCAGACCRGTGCTGGGGCTTCTGCCCATCCTCCTCCGAACAGGAGGTGGGCTGGGACAAGGCTGAAGGGCTGTGCTGAGCTGGGCTCTGTTGTCACTGTGGGAGGTGGAGATGTATCCGTGCTGTCCCCAGGCAAACAGGTCCTGCCAGGGAACAGGAACGAGAGGCCTGGTGTAAGGAAGGGAAAGTTGACGCCTACGAGAGCGCTGCAACTGCGAGAGAGCGGCACTCCYGACACGGGGCCGGCTCTGCTGCTGGGACACAGCGGGGCCAAACACCAGGGCATGGCATGATCCAGTGACTGGGTGACCCAGCATCCACCTGGGAGCGTCCAGCTGCCCTGCGTGGGTCACACGGTGAGCTCAGCACTGGAGAGTGCTGGCTGTGCCCGCCCAGTGCTGTCCTGCAGCAGGGCTTGGGGCGTTAAAAGAGAAAAATCCAGCTGTGATGTGAGCAGGTGCAGACAGAAGGGGTGGTCCAGCACAGGGCTCAGTGTTCCTGGGACACAGGCAGAGAATTTGGAAACCTCCCCCTGGCCCAGACAGAGCGATTCTACTGGCAGACAAGTACTCAGCCAAAAGCTTGGGCCCAGGGTTTTTTTTTTCCCACCCATTTTCCCAGTGAGTCAAACCCCAGARGAGCCCTACCATACCTCTGCATTGCTTCAGAGCCTCCTGCACCTTCAYTGAGCTCCTCAGAGCCTCAATTTGCTGGTGTCCTCATGGACAAGCTGAGCTGGCAGTGCAGGTATGGGCATGTAGAGTGAGGACATCCCAGGAGGTGCACAGAGCTCAGGCGATGGTGGCACCATCGCAGCTCCACCATGCCAGCAGCATCGTGGTGCATGGGCAGAACCCCGTGAGGCTGTGCCTGTGCCCATTAAACGTGGACTGCATGGGCCTATTAAACTGCTAGTAACTTCTTCTAATCATAGTAGCAATGTAAGAAGTCATTTCTTGCTACATCATCCATAAAGAGGTGTCTCAGGTATCCCGCCTACATCCAAGCATGCTCAGCTGGGATGGAAAGCCAGGGCGAGCCTGACATGCAGCAATACAGGCAAGAGGAAGAGAAGGACACTAAACCCGGGAAGGACYGAGGATTTACTGTGACTCACAGCCCTGTCATGCACCCCAAAGGGGCTGTGATGAAAGTCTCTCATTGCTTAAACTGGAGGGGTAATTAGCTGATCCACTTCCCTTCTGGTGAGACTGTTAAAATCCACTGTCTAGTTTTGGGTAATTATTGGTATTCACTTTGATCTCCCCTATATGTCCTACTTGCATAGATAAAATATTTGGGGTTAATTTGTCCACAGCCAAATGGGTTTGAGYGATGAAGGAGAAGCTGTGGCCAAAGGAGAGAGCCACAGAAAGGGGCATGGGAGAAGCCAGTGGGATGAAGGCTGGATCTTATCTTCTTTATCTGTCCTGATTTACCACATTTTCCCCCCTTTCCAAAATCCTGGAAGTCCCTGGGGAAARCAGGGGAGGGTGCTGGATGCCTGTGGGACCACAGCATCCTGAATCCCTTAGCACGGGGATAATGCAGCCCTGGGACTTCCAACAGGCGAAAAGAGGCTCTGGTAAAGCTTTGGGGATCTGGAACCAGACTGGGGCAATGTCAAGAGCTGTTTGGGGTACACCTGCCCCAAGGTAACCAAAGCATAAACCCAAGAGGGCATCATCTCTGCCCAGAGAKGATTTTGGGGGGCAGGAAGTAGGGCAGAGCAGCTCACACATCAGTGCATGCCGGACGCAGCTTCACCATTGCAGCAGGCAGCTGTAACCCCTCCCCTGTGTGTCACAGCCTGGGATGGTTTATCTGGCACCAGGCAGTGTCTGATCTCCCTGCGCCCCAGCGTTATCACACCTTGTATTTGCGTTGGGATGGTGGCAGCTCCCCTCGGCGCGGGCTGCGGCRCAAGAACCCGTTTGTCCGGTACCTTCCTTCGCCCCAACCCGTTGGGCTCGTCACGCCTGCAAGGAGCAGGCGGCTCAGAGTGTCCCAACAGAGGAGGTGCCATCGCCGGGATCCGTCCGGGAAAAACGCAGGCATCGCACCGAGGCAGAAACAAAGCCCTGTCTGTGGCAGCGGGGCCGAGGCTGCGCCGTGGGAAGGACACCCAGCGAGCGCAAACAACCGGCCAGAGGGACCGGCCGGTCACTGACCTCGCTGGGATGTSCAGAGGGGAATACCGCTGCCGGGCTGCTGAAGGGGGCTGGGCTGGCCCCGCTGCTCAGCATCCTGCCCACGGTGTGCTGGTCAGGGCTGGTAATTGGGCAGCAGTGTCCAGTGCCAGCCGGAGGCAGCGGAACTTCCCCGGGGAACTTTCCCTTCCTYCTGGACAGCACGGGGCTGGCGCAGYGGRGACAGAGCTGTRTCATGACACCCATGCCCCACACCAGGCAGGCASAGATGGCTGGGCTCCCCTCCTCAGSAGCAATTGCTCACCATGGGCAAAGCCCAGTGCCCAGCACCCTGACCCCTGGTTGAGTGCTGATAGTGCCAGGAAGGGTGTCCTGTCCCGTTGCCACCCGGTGCCATACAGCCCTGCTAAAATGGACACTGAGTTCCATCTCCTGCACCCCTCTAAAGACCCCAACACCTCCATGAGCCACCCATTAGCCCTCTTTTCTAGCATGGCCAGAGTGGGATGTTGCCATGGAGTGGGACCCTGTAGCTTCCAGGCCCTGGGCACTTGGCACCCCATGGGCCTCAGGGTCTCCTGAAACTCYGGCCCCACAGAACTCCTGGGAGCCAGGAGGCACATGGGACCTTGGCACCCTGCACACCTCAGGCCACACCCGTGCAGGATCCCAGGAGTCTCAAACACCCTCTGTTCCCTTCACCCCTCATGGCCTGTAGATCCCRGACCCTATAGAACCTGATCCTGTGCTGGTCACACCCAACACACACCATGTCACAGCTCAGACTGAGATCTGCRTGCACTAAACACTTACACACTACATGCACCCCAGAAACTTTCTGCCATGGACACACCAGAGCCTACCCCAGTCTCTCCCTGTCAGCCTGAACAGCTTGGATCCTGAGAAGCCTGGACCTGGGGTGCCCCACAGACCCTGTGTGGCTCAGATCCTGCACAGTTTGGAGCTGGCGTGCCCTACAGACCCTGCACATCTTCCACTCCACGCACTCTGGACTTGAGACACTCTATAGACCCTGCACTGCGCAGAACCCAGAGAGCACAGACCTGGGGCACCCGATGGAAACTCAACCCAGAACCTAGGGCACCCTACAGTCTCCGTACATCCCAGTCCCGGGACCTGGGGCACCCTATAGAAACGCTGTACATGCCKATCCCGGGACCTGGTGTGCCTTAGAGACATCCTGTACATCCCAGATTAACAAAGGGCACCCTGTAGCCTCTGTATCTGCCAGTGCCGGGACCTGCGGTACCCCACGGCCCTTGTTCACTCTGCACTCGGAACCTGGGGCACCCCATAGAAACTGTTCACGCCGTCCCCGGGTCCCCTACAGCCCGCGCCCGCCCCGGTCCCTGTACCTGCTCGTCGCCGGGCTCTAACTCCCCCACGTAGTACTGCTCCAGCCAGCGGCGGGCRTTCTCCGAGTGCCGGTGGGGCGGCCCGTCCAGCGCCGCGCTCACGTCGGTGCCGGCCCGGCGGCGGAGCAGCTGCTCCCCGCCCGGGTGCAGCCGCACGAAGCCGCTCAGGTCGTAGAGGCGGCGGTGGCAGGACACCAGGCAGGCACCCTGCGCGCAGCGCGCCCGCACCTCGGCGGCGCTGAAGGACCGCGGCCCCGCCGTGGCCATGGCCCCGCCGCCCGTCCCCGTCCCGGTCCCCGTCCCGGTCCCCGTCCAAGTCCCCGTCCCGTCCCGTCCCGTCCCGTCCCGCCGCCGCGCTCTGCGCGCACCTGCTCATCTGCATACATGCATATGCGGCCAAGCCCCGCCCCCGCCGCGCCCCATTGGGCAGCCCCATGGACGGGTGGGGCACGGCGGGGTGGGGAGGCTCCGTTCTACCGCAGGTACCGAGCCGGGGAAGGGGCAATGGAGAGGGGGAACGGGGACAGGGGGCACGGGGCACCCACCGGGTCAATGGGGAAACGGGGTGGGAGTGTGTCCCCCGGGAGGGACAGGAATGAGGGGTTTGCGCAGCCTTGGACGGGTTATGGGGTGGCACCGGGGTAGAACTGGGCTATGGGCATCCCTGGGGCAGGGAGGAGTCTGTGGGAGCATGCCGGGGCGGTAACTGGAGGATATAGGGCGGATATAGGGCACTCCTGGGGGAATCACGCTTCCCAAGGTATCAACCCCCGTTCCAAGATCCAGGGTGGCCAAGGCAGGGGGAACCCAGTCCTGGCTCACACCCCGTAGGAGAGCAGGGTCGCTCCTGGGGTCCCCCAAAGGGCACCCCACCGCMTCATCACCTGCTGTTTGCAGGCACTACAGCCCCTCCTCTGCTGTTTGCAGATTTATTTCAGTATTTAATTAAATTCASAATTAGCCAGGAGGGGCAGGRGGCASCCCCAAACACCCCGAAGAATCACMRTCAAATWATTCACAAAAAATAAAAGAAAGAAGTTTCCCATACATTTTTTGGGAAATCTTCCTGCTGAAGTTGGGGTCTGCTTTGGGGTGACACCCTTGACCACAGGGACTGGCCACGTCCCAGCAAATTTTGGCCTTACCGGCCACACCGGRCTGCAACCTGTGATTAAGGTGGGGTTTGCCATCCCTGGAATGGGGAGCCCCCCCAGCCCCACCTGTAAGGCTGGGTCATCACACCACCCCAGCCCCCCGGCTTTGGGGTGCCGTGGGGCGCTGGCCAAGCATTCACTGAGGCCTTTAATCAGGATGCAAAACCTGCTGTGGCAGTCGGCATCGGCTCCACCTTCCCACTCGGCTCCCAGCATGGCCCTGCYACCTGCTCAGGGGAAAAACCCTTTTTGGGGTGGGCTGATTGATTCTGCACCCCAGTAGGAGCAGAAGGGTTAAGGGTAGGCATGCTCCTTGCTGGGGCTGCTGCAGGGCGCCTGAGGCACATTGGGGGTCCCTTGGAGGGGTCTTTGGGGGGTGGGAAGGCCAGGAGAGTCCTGAGAGTTTGCTGGGAGACGCCAAAAGAAGCGCTGGAGTGGGACAGTCTCCCTAGGGGGTTCCCTCAAGGGCCTTGGTGGTCCTGGTTGTGGTGGGTGARCTCGGCCTGGCACAGCCCTCTGGACCATCAGGATGGCTTCTGGATGGACATTAAGGATTTTCGGATGAGCATGAGGGCAAGGGGGGGAAGAGACAGATCTGAATGAGTTGGGGCTCTCGGCTGGAGGCCACTGCACCTAATCCCAAATCAGGAACCCCAGACCTGATTTTGGAGCAAGCATGCTCAGAGCAGGAGCAGTGGCCATTATCCCTTTGTGGGGTGCTGGGGGAGATGGAGGGGATGCCTGGCTGTGAGCCCACCATGCCGTCCCCAAAGGCTGGTCTTGCCTGTGCAGCCCAGCCCTACATCGCGTTTTGGGGCCACGTGCTGCCAAGGGCCACGCTCTGTAATCACAGCTCATGGCAGAGATGGGTCCAGCYTTTGCCAGCCCACAAAGCCGCTGGGTGACGTGTGGGTCCTCAACTGCGCCACAGCAGGGCTCAGGGACATCAGGCAGCCTCTTGTGAGCTGACAGCTCACTGCCCTCGTTACCTCCTGGGCTCTGTGGTGGGGCTCTGTCCCCCCATGCAGGGGACAGGGGTGTCCCCACAGTGGGTGAGCCAACCACCAGCTCTGCAGTGACAACAGGGCAGCAGGGGGACCCTGTCACCTGCAGACAGGGATGCACTGAGCGCTGGTGACACTGGGAGAGGGACRGAGCTGCAAATGCCACCATAACAGCACCCACCTGGCAGCAGAGTGTTGTGCCAGGGTCCTGCCCCCGCTGCTGTTCCCATCCCTGTCCCTGCACCCCGCCAGCCCCAGGACAAGCAGCATCAGGGAGTGGAGCCGGCTGCTGATCAGCCTGGCTGAAAYGAGAGCAGCCAAATAAATGGCTTTGGCTCATCAGTTCCTGAACTGGTTTACCCACCAGACAGACGGACAGACGCTGGGGCTGGCACACAGGAGACAGCAGGAATGTGCTGCTGGGCTTGGGGCAGGATCAGGCCCTGCAGCGCTCTGGGGCTGATGCTGGGATAATGGAGCTGTGGCAGCCAGGGAGGAGGAGGCTGATACAGATTCTGCACGGTATTGCATCCACGGAGATCCCTCTCTGCCAAACACTCMTTTCTCTGCCAAACTTGATCATCGGATTAAAGTTCCTTCTCCACATATGGAAAGCCTCAGCGTGGATCGGGAAGACACACCGTGCTTGTTACACCCTCAGTWGGAAAAAAAATAGGGCTTAAAAAGCTGACAGTGGCCTTGAGGGCACAGCGTGGGCTGTCGTGGGAGTTCTCTCTCCCTCTTCCAGCCCCATCCTTGGGAAAGCTAGCATGGATACACACAGGTAACAGCCCTTGGGAYGCACTTGGCAGGCAGCTGAAGCAAGTTTTGGCAAGCAGCTGTTCAGGGTCGGACCTAAGGTCTTCTGCRCTCGGCATCCTCCTCTGCACCGGCCTGGGAAGGGTGCCAGTGCAGGTGTGGGGTGCGTGGGCATCTCTGCAGAGCGCTGCTGGCTGGGCTCTCTGGACAGGGGTGGCCTGGGAAGCAGYTCCTCTCCTTGGCAGTGTCCAGTCATTCCTGGAGCCCTGGCAAACCGTGGCACTGGTGATGCCCTGAGGGAAGTGGTTTGACACCCTTCCCACGCGGCGTGTGAAGAGCTCGCTCCTGCCTCGTGCAGAGCAGCCGGCTGWATCCAATGGCCCCTTGCTCCTGCTCCAGCGGAAACCAGGGATGGGTCACCCCCTGCCCTGCAGCACGACTGACCACGATCCTCAGCACTGTCCATCAGCTGCAGGCTCTATCCAATTCACCTGGGTTGACCATGGAAGTGTCCCCAGAGCTGGTCTGATGCAAGYTCTGGCCAAGACTCACTGCCTGAGCAGTGCCTGTTTCCTCTCTCTCCCTTCTCTAAAGCCTGCAATTCAGTGAGATGTGGCCAGAGCAGGGAACTTCTTGCATTTTACCAAGTTTTCCAAAGAGCAGGTGGGTGCAGGGACAGGCAGTCGGAGATGGGCAGCACAGAAGAAGGGGCTGGTATGGGGCACCACCACCCTTCATTTCTGACCAGTTTTTGCTGCCCTGCACAGGAAAGGCATCAGCGTTTCTCTCTTCAACAGGCTCCAGGCAGGAGGAAATATGCCATTCGTGTTTCCTTGCAATAGTCACTCCTGAATGGAGAGAAGCTGCTCCCAGAGAAGCCACCAGAGGTGCTGCAGGGTGTGAGAGAAATGCTGGCAGCATCCGGGAAGAAATTCCACCTAGCTGTGCAGGGCTACACAAACAGCCACGGCAAGGGCTTTTCCRCCTTCCTCTGAAGTGCCGGCCCCGCTCCGCCTCAGGGGCATTCACATACTATGGAGATGGACCGTAATAACACACTAAATACCGCGATTTGTCGGTCCGTCACCTTTAAATAACAAATCTTCTTTCCCTTCCAAGCTACAGGAGCACTCAAGCGTGSAAATGAAAATACTTCCAAGCTGAATGGCTGTCACGGAGCAAGGCGGAGGGCGGGAGCCCTCTCCCTGCCGCTCCGGGCAAAGAGCAGCCCGGCCCCGGGGGTGCGGCGGCGCCGGGCAGGACCCCGCTGCACCCCGCTTTCCTGGGGGGCAGACGCTGCCCAGGGCCTCCCCAAACTGCAGGATGTGGGCTTGGCTTCGCTTGGCTTTGCTTTGCCGGCAGCTCAGACGCCGCCCGGCTTGGCTTTCCCAAGAGCCTCACCAGCGCAGGCAGCTCCCGCTCTGTTCCCAGGCTGGAGTGGCAGTGCCAGCATATTGTCCCAGCCAGGGCTGGGGGACCCGGCAGCCCCTCAGCTGTTACAGGGCTCTGCTACCACCGAGTACGCCGCTTTGGGGTACAGGGAGACGGCCATGGAGCAACACTCACCACCCACGGGGATGGAGAGCTGCTGAGGGAGAACCAGCAGAGCAACACCAAATTCTACTGGAACAGCACTTAAAAAAATAATTTTAATGTTTTAATTGTTTCAGATACATCATCTGTTTATTCCACAGCAGGATCCCACACGTGAGCTAGCACAGGGATTGGAAGCAGGTATGGCACGTGGCCCCACTCAGCAGGCAAGCATGGCAGAGSGGATCAGTGCCAGTACAGATGGGGRCAGCTCCAGCTGGCTCATCCCTGACCACACATTCACCCAAATCCAAAGTTCAGGCAGAAGGCAGCCCTGGAGAGGTGGAGGCTGCACACTGCAGGTGTGCACACACCATATAGCAGTGTCCCTGTGCTGGGAGTGCCCAGCAGGCACAGCCCCAAACTGACTGATCCATCCTGTACATTCTCCAGTGCCACAGAAAGAAAAGTCATAAACCTTTCACCTCTGTGGATTCCATCATCCTGCCAAACCCCCTTTTTCCCTAGAAACTGCTGCCTCCCTGTTCAGGAGCCTAGTCACTCAAGCAGCTGCAAATCTCACATTATCCATAATTTTCCCCATRGTACTTGGAGACAGCAGCCAAAAGGAGCTGTATGGAGTAAGTGTCCTCTTCGTGTTTTCTCAGTGAGGGAGAAAAGCTTTCCAAAATAACACGTCTATGGAAAGACAGTGTGCATCCCAAACTCCAAAGGCAGATGCTYTTCCCAGTCACCAGGAAGTGTCACCAACAAGACAGAGACAGGTTAAAGTGCATTTTATCACCTGGTGAAAGCAGGAGATGGAGACACCTTAAAGCCTAACAGTACT